TCCTCTTTGTATCTGTTAAATTATACACACGGCATATACTGCAACATAGCAGAACAATGTGATTACTGTTGTAGAGGTTAGTCATCAAAATTCTAGAGTTATCACACAAACAAAAAACAAGTCATTATTGGTTAAGGCAGTGCTAAACCAGTGCTCTCTTTAAATGAGAACTAAATTCAGTAGAAGTCATAAATAAAACGTGGAAAAAGAGCTTACAGAGAAGGGGTTTCTCATTTTTACAAATGAATACCGTGACACACGACAAGAATCAGTTTTGCAGTCGTGTGATATGCTTGTGTGTATACGTACGTGCGTGTAGGTGGTTTGTAATGCGCCATTTTGTACCACTAGAGGGAAGCAGATCTCTTCATACGCATTTTAGAAACACGAGCGCTCCTATCTCTACTGTAACAGTACTGTAACGACGCTATTTTAATACCATTTAACTTTCTATAGATTATATTAAACAACTGCTTTTGTAACGGATCAAATCTTGAGGTCGCTGAAAATCTGCAAAACGTTAAGGTTGAAGAACTTGAGAGTTTCACTCTGCTAAATGCTTTGCAATTAAAGTTAAAAATAGTAAATATTTTCATCTATTTTTTTTTAATTTATAAATTTATTTTTACGTTGTAATGGACCAAAAGTAAAAGGTTATATGTATTTAATAGAGTTGAGTGGTCGATTGGAAAGTGATGTCGGCCATATTGGACACGGGAAAATCCTTCCAATAGGGAATTGTGTTGCGTTAAACGTTATCGGAAATCTTTTTTGGCCGTAGATCACAAATCAAGTGAATCCAATATTTTATTGATACACCTTTATTATTTGAAAGTTTATTTATGTAAAAATACTTTCAGAATACACAAATAAAAGTAGATGATTGGGATTCAAACAGACATGGGAAGTGTAAAACAAAAATATGAAATAAAGGTAAGAACAGGAAAAACGCTTCCTTTTTCAAAATACATTTTTGACATAGAATTGTAATTTAAAATTGCCACCATTGGTGAGTAGACTTCCTATAGCCTTGGTAACAGAATTGTAATTTAAAATTGCCACCATTGATGAGCCTTGGTAACAATCAACATCAACAATAACAAAAACCGAGTAATCGAGGAACCTGACTAATACTTTATGCATTGATAACATTCCATTACGTCCGAGTTCCTTGTTGGTACGTGAATGCACCGTGATTCCTCCTTTGGCCTCGGTGGCTCCTCAGTCCTGGTCCGACTATTGTTGTGTGTCTTTGGGGGCAAACACGAGCTCAGTACAGACAAAATTCTGGATATTCTGTGTGTTTCTTCTAGTTTAAACCTCCATTATATAACGCTGCTTTTGTCAGTCGGTGGCTCCTCGTTGTTTTTGAAAGAGCACGGGGAATCTCAGCGGAGGACTTTGGTCTGGTGTGGTAGTTGTTCGTTATGGGACAGACGGAAGACTGAGTCTGCGTTGGAAACAGAAAGAGGCTGCGTGTCTGCCGTTTTCACACTTATCTGGGTTTTTGACGTGAAATAAAGAACAAAACGTGCGGTGCTGATTATCCGAGGACGCATGTAGCCGAACTAAAACAGTGCTGAGGTCGAATTTAAGGTAAGAACTTCTTTCTCCGTATGTTCCATTGTGCATTTGGGAGCGCAATGCTGGGCCTGAACGAGCTGTGACACTTTCAGAAAGTTAGACAAGCGACCCAGCAGACTTCTTCTGTAGTCTCCTGTAGTTGTGGTAAAAACAAATGTATATACATATATAGTTTATTAAATGTTGGACCCAGACTAGACGAATGCCTGTGCAGAGTATTATGTATGAAATAAATAACAAGATCAATTCACTCACAAATGTTACTGGCAGAATTTGTCTCCTTGTAGAAAAGGTACATAAATAAGAAAAAAAAGCTTCATATTTATAAAGTTAACTGACCTCTTACAGCCTCACCCATCGACACACGCACGCACGCACGTACAAAATCAGCTGCTCTAGGCCTCAGCTGTAATGAACAACATGACCTGGAGATAGTGGAAGTTAGAAATGTGTGACTAACTGCTGCACTGGAATGCAGAGAAGAGATTTTAAAGTTTAACATGCTTCGTACAACAATGTTTTGTGTGTAGAAGAGAAACCAAAACTTTTACATATCACCCTTGGCCTTGTGCTGATTGCATTGGTTTTTAGTTTTTATCCAAAACTCATTGCTTGTATGCAGTTGGAGTAGATGGTTGGCTGTTGCACATCACTTGTGTATTTTTCTGACACTCTCCAATGAGAAGGTGCCCCAGGGCAGGGCACTTAGTGCTGAGAGTTGGGCCGGTTGTTTAGCCGAGGTAAATCTGGGTGAATTGTCTTTAGTGTGTAATTGAGTAGTTAATCATAACAACAAACCTGCAAAATAGAACTACACTGACACATGCTGCGGCGTAATTAAGGTAGTGTTATATGTACAACTTCTGAAGACAGAGACAAACACGACATTAAATAGTTAACAAAAACACCGTTTACAGCAGGCTTTATAACAAGTAACAATGAATGTTTTTGTTAAATAGCATCTTTATTACAGTCAGAAATGAGTGTCTATTCTGGTGAATCCTCATAGTGCAGACCCTAAGCTTAGCATTTAGTCAGACAGCCCATCTGCTAATATGGAGTCTCAAGTCTTAAGAAACCATAAGTCAAAACTGAATCTTCTTCATTCAAAGGAAATAATTGTTTACTGTTTCAGGTCGATTGCCCCTGGTTCATCTGAAATATAATCACCTTTAATGTGGCACTGTCAAATCTCTGATTAAAGTGTGTGAATGCTGATATAGTTTGATATTGTGTGCGTGTTATTAAAGTGATTGCTGGTTTGTTTTTGTACTCTGGTGCCACATTAATCCTCGTCTGTGGTAATCCCTCTGTTAGCGTAGATCCCGTTGACTGTGCAGAGAGTTCCTTTGCAAACACACACATGCACAAACATGGACACAGTCACATGCACGCACACACACAGCTGGTACAGAGAGGTCTGTTGGCAGTGGAGTGAGGAGCGCTAACAGGTGCTGTTGGCCGAGGCTCAGGGACTTGAGTTTTAACGGGAGACGTTAAGGATCCTTGCATTCCCCTCAAGTGTTCTCATCACATTAAAAGAACTCAAGAGATTGAAGTACGTTAAAACACTCTTACAGTACAGTATGTTGATATTGTTTATGATTCTCATATTTTGAATGTGCACCGTCGGTGCAGAGAGTGCACAACGAACAAGAGCTCTTCTCTTTTATAGCTCCAGGATGCATACCGGGTTTCTATCCAAGCCTCACTCTGGACCCTTTGACAGGCACAGCAGGTGGCCCCAACAGCAATAATGGATGCGGAAGGAAGTTCCGCTCCCTCCTCTCCAGCCCTGCCCCCCTCCGCTGACCGTGATTGGCAGAGATGGCAGGCTGCCCCAAAGATTAGCTTGAGCTAGGCCTCATAAAGTGTGCCAAAGCAATAACTCCATGTTACACTTCAGTAAAGGTTTGCACCATTGACAGGTCTGTGTGACTGTGTCCTGGATTTACAAATCATGGAGAGGCTTTGTCCTTCATTGTATTTTGTGGCAGACTTCATGTAATGACCCATGTGCATTGTGCCTCACTGAGTCAATAACAACCAATGTGCCTTTCTGTGCAGCTAAACCCATCAATGGAAGGCCAATCAATGACATTGTGTTGTTACAGCATGGGTTGACCAAACACACCCTGTGCAGTGTAACAGAACAGTGAACACTAGTCCAACAGTAGGACAATGTCGGCTAAATTGTTACATTATTGTGTCTTTTTTTTTTAATTGTTCCTGTTAGTGATGTAGTGCCATCAAATGACTCCTTCAACTGTTGAGTTACTGTTGAATTGACAAAGAGAATTGAACTTAGTTCAATAGTAGCCAGTTATTCTATTACTAATCTATGTGACGTGTTTTACAGGACATTTGGTCAAAGGTCAAAGGGCCCCTCCCAGGTTTGTCCACAGTTGCAGTTCTTACCTGAACAGAAAGTTTTACAATGCTTTATCAAAATGTCGGCTCTTCTCAAACAATAATTATTCAGCCATTCATGTGTGATTGACCTCATTCTAACAGGACATATTTTTACTGCTAAAAGTGTGAACGTGCACCTTTTTATAAGCTGTTTCCTACTTAAACCAGCAGGTGTGGCTGTGTTATTTTAACCAGGGTGAACTTGATACAAACCCTTTTAACAAATGCCAAAGCTTGCTCTGCCCTGTGATGTATTTTTTTACTCCGTGAATAGTGATGTCATTCACCTCCGGGGTTGAAGCAGAAGAACAATAGTCTTGTGGTGTATACAGTGTTCTGGCTTTTATATTTGTGTGTTTTCAATCTCAACAATCAAAAGGCATTGAACATACTTAAACAAACAGGTAAGGTGAAGTAATAAATGGATTTTTCAACCGTGAATATTTTTCAGATATGCATAGAATTTGGATTTTTAAAAACAAGCTCTTAAAACTTTTAGCTGCTTGTGCTGCCTTCATGAATGAATCCAGGTACAGCACAGTGCCCAACCATTTCCTTTGTGGTTTTCATCCACAAAGCTTTTGTTTATTGTCATAATAACAGAACAAAAATGAAAGTGCATTGTTGTGATTAAATACAATAGAAATGCAGGGGTAATCTGGATCTCTGTGTAGGATCACAGAGTTTCAGATGATCTCAGCAGTGTTTGAAGAGTCATTTTTCAGTGACTGCTGATCAGTACCACTCAGACTGAATTAAAATCTTAGTTCAAATCTCAGTATATTTACTTCATGGACTGGTCTGGGAAAGGCAGTGGACAACATCGTAAGGGGCGGAGCTATTATCCACAAACCCGATGCTTCAGAACTGCACTGGGTTTGTAGTAGGGGTTTGAATTACAATGAAGACAACTACAAAGTACAGAGTCATGCATTTGGCGTGGCAGCAGGCAGTGCTGACATTTTTCCCTGCATACCAGCTATATCCGAAGCTTCCCTCCTGCAGCTATGCAGCATAGTTTGAATTCATCCCTGTAGGAAGTGGAATCTGTGTCTGCTAATGGGGCACAGGGTCAAAGGCAGTTGCTCACTTGTGCCCATGTGTATTGTGTTTTGAATGTCCAAAAGTAGCTTATAATATAGTAATTGACACTGTCTTCATGTTAGAAATTATGACCAGCCTGTCATTTGCATATTGTTACTATAAAGAAGTTAAATGCAGATGCAGAGGTTAAGGTATTCTAGATGCATGTTTTGAATATCTATAGGAGCATTTTGCTAACACTCAGGGCTAGAGAAATGCTCCCTGAAATATGCAGTAGTATAATGCAATATAGACCCCATTAACTATAGATGTTGGGGCATGGCTGCAGAGGATAAACACTCCATCTGAGTCTCTCAGAAGCCTTGGTGAATGAGAACAGGTCAGTGAGCTCTACAGTTGATAGCTTTGAGTGCAATTTGACATGTGTGAACAAAGCAGCTCATTTGAATTCAGCCCAAGTGTTAGGACCTGGTTGTTGGAGTTACCTAAAGTGCTGTGAAGAGCCGTGATAAGTTCATTAGAACCAGTGGTTGGTCAGTGGACTGTTAGCAATTGTATGTAAAAAAAAAAAAAAAAATTCTTCAGAATATATACAAAATTATTAATTATTATTAGCCCAATCACAACAAAAAGAACCATGAAAAGTGATCAAATGTATCTGTTTTTTTTTGTAATATTTAGACATAAAACAAAGGTGTAAATATACAAAGTCAAAAAAAAAATTAGGTTAGATATTGCTAGCTATTTTCAAACAGTGACAAAGGAATGAAGCCGAATACAGCATAAATACTCAATAAAAATGTGGCAAAAAATATAAAATTATTTTCTGAAAAGTTACAAAATTCACAAGCTAAGAAACTGTGAAAATATAGCATTAACAATAAAAACAAACAAAAACCTCCACATTACCAAATTGTAGTTGTTTTGACAAGATCATGTGCCAGCCCTGTGGACCCACACAGGCATCTGATCTATTCCTGGCCGTTTTATGAGTCATTATATGGGGAATTGAAAGATTTAAAAAGATCAGTTTTACATGCATTTTATCATGTAATTGTGTGATTAAAATCTAAAGAAAATATTACAGTATGATTTCCTCATAGAGTAACAGAAACCACAGAGAACCTGAATGAATGAAAATAATGAATGAATTTTCAAAAAGTACTCTTCTCTCCTAAAATTAGGAACAGGTTTTTAATGTGGAAAGAGAAGGCAGAAAAAACAGCTGCAACTGAATGGCCTCCTTTTTTGGGTATGGGGGGCAAGTAGGAGAGTGGGAGGGTGGGCCTGAGGAGCTGACAGGTGGGGGATTGAAGTTAAGAAAAGCTTGTTGTCCTTTTGAAATTGTGCTTTTAAAAATATATTTCAGATTTGAACTGAAACACTACAGCTGCACACTTGTCACTGATTAATTTTACTGGACGTAAAAAAAACCAGACAAATTAAAATCAGAAAATGTCATGTCATGTTAACTAGCTCCAGTGAGGCAATTTGTTTCTTCCACTTTCAAATGTTTTTTTTTTAGTTCCTCTCTAAACTGTTTAGAAGATGAAAGAGTGAAAATCGCCTAAGGCCGGAACATGATCGAGTTTCTACCTCGGCTGACCCGTTGAGCTTTTGTTAAGACTTGTGGAGCCTTGGTGAAGTCATGTTAGCCTGTGGTCTTGGTTTGGTTTTTGAGACTGGGATTTAAGATGTGACGTCGTTCCACTGACTGATTCTGTCCTTTCCCACTCCACGTCCTTAGGCTCAACGATGGGTTGTGTCAAAAGTAAAGAGGAGATGGACCCGACGCTGAAGTACCGACCCGACAATTCGAATGCAACTCCACTTAATGCCCACCTGGGCCACTATGGGCCGGACCCCACCCTCATGGGTCATTCACCAGCCATGAAGTCACACAACAACAGCTACAACAGTAATGCTGCTTCGCTCACCCCCTTCGGTGGGGCATCTTCAGTCATGACACCCTTTGGTGGCGCCTCCACCTCCTTCACCTCAGTGGCTGTGAGCAGTCCTTTCCCTAATGTCATCGCAGGTCAGTCTGAGGAGATGTTTCAAGCGACGTGTAATTTCATTGTTTAAAGTCTTAAAGTCAGAGCGGCACAGAAGTTCACATAAGAAACTGTGTTTTATAACCCTAGAAATACTTTTTTTTACAGCTAAATCTTCCCAAGACAATCTTCCCTAAGTTGTTTTCTCTGTTGTTTTTTTTTAAACTATTCATTATGTTGTCATTATGTGTAAATCTTTGTAAAAGAATAAAGGCAGCTCAACATTTTACACACAGGACGTTACGAGCGGGCAGATGTTATGCAAATTAGGACATGTGAAAGGAGCCTGCCTAAACATCAAGGCTGAACACAAACCCAAAATAGGTCTGTAATGTGGGAAGCAGAGCAGCAGCCGTGACTCCTCCTCAGCCAATGAAAACATTTGCATTGACTGAATCTAGTGGCTTCAGTTGGAAGTTTGCATTTCCATTAACAGTTTGGCAGAGTGGTACCTGCCGTCGGCAGTGACCAACCATCGGACAACGAACCCTGTCGATTATGGCTTAAATATGTAGAAAATGCAACAGAAGAGGAGAGCAAACACACACAGAGTCATAAACAGTTTTTTTCTGTGTCTTGAAAGCACTGAACATGACATGATGCATTCCTTAAACCCATACCCTAACCTCAATCATCACAAATCTGTGTCTGATCTTCATCTTGACACCACTCTAATCTGACTTCATTCCTAATTTTAACTCCAACCCAAATCTTGAACCTCAAAATACTCTCACTCACTGAGTGTCCCTACAACATTTCTTCCAGACACGTGTCCCCACAAGTGTAGCTCCGCTAGGAACTTACGTACTGAATCACTTCCCTCAGTCCTTCCTTAAAGCAGGATAATCTGTCCTGATGAACTGTGGTAGACTTAATCCACCCTTTTTTAATTTCCTTCAAAGGGGTGGTGCAGTGACATGTCTTTGAAAAGATTAAATGATTCATGTAATCGAATGACTTAAAGTGATGCCAGTGAGACTGAGATTTACTTTAACCTTTTACATTTCAAATTCCACGTTGTAAAAATGCACTTAAGTCGATTGAAACATTTGGATTTTTTTTTAACATGACAGCAGTGCAATGTTTTTGTGATTAATCTAATGTAACAGGTCACACATGTTATTAAAATATTAACATTATGACTAAAGGAATTACCACAAAAATATTAACAATACAAAACAAAAGCTAAGCCTTTTTTAAAGCATTGTTTGTGACAGTGATTCCAGTGTTATAACCTGAGCTCATGTTTTTTAATGATGTGTGTGTGTGATTATATGCACTTGTTCAACCGCTGGTTTCCTCTCCGCTGCAGGTGGTGTCACATTTTTCGTAGCACTGTACGACTACGAGGCGAGGACGTCGGACGACCTCTCCTTTAAAAAAGGAGACCGCTTCCAGATTATTAACAATACGTGAGTGCACTGGATTTCTCACTGACCGACTCCTGCTGTGGACGGAGGTTTAGGCCCTCATTGTATATTCAGGCATCTGTTCCTTTACTGTTATCTTTTCCCACATGATATTTGTTTGTTTATTTTGGGGGTTCTGTCAGATGTGTAATGTATGCATAATGATTACAATAAGACCTGTTGTCAGTAAATCTGCAGTGGTTAACACTTCATGGTTAATGTGAACGTTAACATTTTTAGTTCATGGTGATGGTACATCTTCCTTATTAAAACTTGACCAAAGTTTAGAAAGTTAAGGTAGAATGTAGTCGTGTTTGAAAAGCTGTTCCCTGCTCCTCGACTCAAGGTGAAACTATGAATGTGTCTGTTGATGTCAGAAGACAGAGTGAGTCAGTTCAGACCCACAGTCCTGTTCTCGCCAAACATCTTTAGAAAATTCACCACGTTTCAAAAGCAGAGAGTGGAAATAGACGTGCTGATTAATCTGTGTTAACAATGTCACTCAGTATAAACACTGACACTCTCATCAAGGCCACTTTTTCTGGTGCGTTTCATGGAATGTTTGACGTGGTTTAACAACTCCACCCTCGGACCTGATGAGTAATGTTCTACATGACAATAAATGATGCTTTTAACGACCTTAATACTTTTCTAAAGTTATGTCTGAAGCATAAATCATCTTTTCAGAGCAGTTGAGGTTTTATAACCTGACTTATCTGTGTGTCCTGTTTCTTTAGTGAAGGTGACTGGTGGGAGGCTCGCTCCATCAACACGGGACATAAAGGTTACATCCCCAGTAACTATGTGGCGCCGGCCGACTCCATTCAGGCTGAAGAGTAAGAATTTACCTTTTTTTTTTATTTGCATTTATGTGCATTCTTGTCTGTTTTCTTTAGTTTCTGGTTCTTTTGCAAAATTGTTGGAATACAAAAGCAAACATTCCTGTGAAGTGAAACATTTAATCTTATTTTTAACATGACAGGACGTGTTGGAAAGAACACAGTTCAGAGCCTGTTATTTATTTAGCTGCTTGTCACTAAAGTGACCAGTGGAATGTTTACTATTACATGTTATAAAATGTCTTTAAACCAACACGTTTGCTAGGACTACATATGGATCTAGTGACTGATTTTCTTTTTTTCTTTTTAAGATGGTACTTTGGGAAAATGGGTCGCAAAGATGCAGAGCGCTGGTTGTTGGGTCCAGGGAACCAGCGAGGCACTTTCCTGGCACGAGAGAGCGAGACGACCAAAGGTGAGACTTTGGTGTTTTCACGGTTAATGGAGTATTTATTTATTTTTCTTTGGAAAGTATGGCTTCATAGAAGCTTTAAAAAGGGCCTGTTTTGTGGGTTAAAGGTCAAACGGTTCTGTTAATGGTGCTGTGTTTATTATTGTGAACACTTAGTAGCCCCGGCTGACAGAGGTTCTGTAAATGTTGAAGGTGCCTACTCCCTGTCTATCCGGGACTGGGACGATGTGAAGGGAGACAATGTCAAACACTACAAGATTCGGAAGCTGGACAACGGTGGTTATTACATCACAACTCGGGCCCAGTTTGAGACACTCCAGAAGCTGGTGAAACATTACACAGGTATGCTGCCTCTCCACAGTAACCACCCACACAGCTTTGTAGGTCTCACTTTAGACAAATTGTTGTTTACCACAGAGCAAATCTTCCTGCTCAGGAACAAGTTGGTCATGTCTTTTTCTTTGTTGTGTTTTAGTTTTAGTTTTAGTTTTTGCCCAGCAAAAACATCTTTATCAAATCAGTCAAGTACGACTGCATGATGAGAATATTAATGTCATTAAATATTCAGTTTAGCTCCTGGGTTGTCCACTGCTGCATAGAGTTTTTTCATTTGTTTTTGTCTGCCGTGCAGTAGCTCTGGGTTCAAATTCTCTCCAGTATATAAACCCAATAGGTGTTTAGAAAAACACTCTGCCTAATCTTTATTTCACTATCACTACAGTGACTTAAATAAATAATAATGAACAGATTAAGTTAACAATAACACTAATAGCAACAAGTTTAAATGAATATATTATAAATTTAATAATAATAATAGGGTTAGATTCTAATAGTAATACAAAAAACATCCTGAAGGAACAGTTGGAGACAAATGCAGATTGGCTGTCAAGTATCATGTGCTTCTTCTTTTTCTGCCAATTTGCTGTGTGCAGAATTAAAATGGAACATTAGCATGTCACCAGAGAAAGATTATAATGAAATACTGATTCTAAAAATCAGAGCATCCCTGCAGGGAATCGTGGGGGAAAAATACTACTAAGCTTTGTTGTATTTTTACAGTTCTGTGTACAGTCAGGGCCACATGATGTTTTATGTTAGAGAATATTTTATTAATGTTTCTGAAAACTACAGACTGTGCTGCCATTAATGTTGTCTCTTAATGTCTACATCCATCCAGAACACGCTGACGGTCTGTGCTACCGATTGACGACGGTGTGTCCGACGGTGAAGCCTCAGACTCAGGGACTAGCTAAAGATGCCTGGGAAATCCCACGGGAGTCTTTACGACTGGAAGTCAAACTGGGACAGGGCTGCTTCGGGGAGGTTTGGATGGGTAAGAGCCTGCAGCACTCAACCATGTACAGTCAAAATATGTTTTAGAAACATGCACGTTTTCTGGTTTGTAACATAGGCTTAAAACAAAAAGAAATACACTTTTAATGTTTTTTTCTGGTTTGTAACATAGGCTTAAAATAAAAAGAAATACACTTTTAATGTTTTAAAATGTTGACAATCATTATTAATCTGGTGACTCCACAGTTACCCTGTGATTCATCACATTAAAAAGTTCCACCCTTGGACAGCCCTACTAACAGTACAGAAGTCCTGTATGAACTTCATAAGTCGTTATACATCAAATGGAGCAGATACTGCCCCCTGTTTCTGCCCCTCTCACTTCCACACTGGCCCACATACTGAGGTAAATGGTGAGCTCTGATTGGTTCTGGATAGAGGGCTCTGTAATGACAGGTCATCTCCTCCACTCCAGTTCCCTGGGCCGTGTGTGTGTGTGTGTGAGACGAGTGGCTCGTCGTGAACATGGCTCTCGTCTTTCATCTCTCCCTCTTTTATTAAATGCGGCCCTGGAGCAAGCCTCGACCTGCAAAGCCTCCTCTGTGTAATGCCAGGAATCCCAGGCTGTCTACCCCAGCACTGTTTGTTCCTGAAGAGTTCACTGCTCTCTTGGCCGAAAATACCTTCAGCACTCACTTTTATTATTTATTACTTTGTAAATACTGTATTGTTGGCATCTGGCACAGACTGGCAGTGCTCTGTCAGCGTGTTCTCCACCTCACATCATCTTTATTATGATTCATTATCATTGCCCTACGACATCATAAAGGCGGAGGCGCCCGACTGAGGTTCAGCAACATGACGGAAGCACTAGATCTCCTGGCTCAGCTCTTTGTATGTAAGCAGGGCGTGAATAAGTGGCTTCTAACCAGGAAGTGGCTGATTATTTAAACTGTCAAGCCCTTTCTCTCTCTCTGTCCATGGGCCCTCAACTGGTCTTTTCACAGAGGAACGCAGCCAAATCCACAGCGGTGATAAACGTTTTACCAACTGTAGTTTTTCAATTTTAGAAAGAGAGACTTTGGAAGTCACCCAGCAGGGCTGACTCCACTTGTTACAAGAGCAATTCCTTTTAAAAATAATAATTTTCTTTTTGTTATTATTCTTGAGCTGTGGCTCTAGTTCAGCCATGTTTACCAAATCTCTCATGGCGGGTGTCTTCAGTATTGGTCGGATGTAGAATTCTGGGTAAATTAAAATCAATAAAATGTTCAGGAATAGTCCTAAATTTTTTGATGTTATGTAATGTTATTTTGAATTCATTGATTATGGATCACTGTATTACATTCAGTGGGTCAACTTCATGTGTAACGGGTCAACTTCATGTGTAACATCTTAGACAGTTGTTTTATCAATAATACATTCATGTCTTTGTCTCCAGGCACATGGAATGGGACCACCAAGGTGGCCATCAAGACCCTGAAGCCAGGCACCATGTCTCCAGAGGCGTTCCTGCAGGAGGCTCAAATCATGAAGAAACTCCGACACGACAAACTGGTACCGTTGTACGCCGTGGTGTCGGAGGAACCCATCTACATTGTCACTGAGTTCATGGGCAAAGGTGAGACCAGACGGCCTTGACTTTTTCTAAATGCCGTCCTTATAGCACTCTTTTGTTAGTAATGCCAATATAGAGATTGTTTTAATTCCGGATCCTCAGCTCACTTTAAGACACATCCTGTGACTTCTTCCTGTGCTACACCTTTTGAGAAAGGACATCTTCACTGATGTGGCAGGTCATAATGACTCACTTCCTGCCACTCTGCCACAGCACAGCCTGATTTTATTTATACGACGCCAAGAAAAAGTTGAACTAAATGAAGAAACCATCGAATCATATGCACGTCTGTGGCCGTATTTTAATAGAGGCTGTAAATCTTCTATTATGGTCTGCGTAGGTAGTTTACTGGACTTCCTGAAGGAGGGCGATGGGAAATATCTGAAACTGCCTCAGCTGGTGGACATGGCATCACAGGTAGGATCCGTACTCACCTCCACTAGTCTGGTTTGTAGCTAACAAATAGTGATGGTTCCTGCTGCCAGGACCTTTGACCTGCCGCTACACTAAAAATTACACTAGTTCAATACCCAAACTCCCGTCTCTACTCTCCCCCTCTGCTGTTCGTGCTCCCTCTCCTTCGTCTCCACTTAACGGCCTGTGGATCTTAAACAGTGCCCAGCCGAGGCCACTGAAGCTCACTGCTTCGGTTGACCTGCTGTGATCTCCTGTTTATTCTCCTCACTCTCCACACTCCATGGACTCCCTGACCCTTTACTTCAGCATAGTGGAAAAGTGTTTGAGAATTAAACTGATAACTATAAAAAAAACAGGGCCATGCCTCTGACGGAGCGGACAGAGAAACTTGTTACGTCCACGCAGATTATTTCACCCTGAAATTGAACACTGACTAATCGTGACTCGGTCTAATTTAGATTTTCATCATGTTGACTTGAACGTTAACGCTGTTCTCTGTGCATTTCTTTTGACTGGCGACAGATTGCTGACGGCATGGCCTTCATTGAGAGGATGAACTACATCCACAGAGACCTGAGAGCGGCCAATATTCTGGTGGCTGATAACCTGGTGTGTAAGATCGCCGACTTCGGCCTGGCTCGGCTCATCGAGGACAACGAGTACACGGCCAGACAAGGTTTGTTTGGTTTTTATTGGCTCACACAGTACTAAAGGCCAAAGCCACTCCCAGAGTCGCTGTTGTCACTGTGTGCACACCTGTTGATCGTCATACATTTTTGATTACACACCAACTCATCTCTCTTTTTATGATTACAGGTGCAAAATTCCCCATCAAGTGGACGGCCCCTGAAGCTGCTCTCTACGGCCGCTTCACCATCAAGTCTGACGTCTGGTCGTTCGGTATACTACTGACTGAACTGGTGACCAAAGGCAGAGTGCCTTACCCAGGTAAACACTGGAGTTCCACTGATACGGAATGTTGTCGTTGGAATTTCTAAGCCAAGGAATTGTTTCAATTTTCCGAAAGCCTTGTTTACCATCGTTTGAGCATCAATGTTCTCAAGGAACAATTTATTTTATTCATTATTAAGGTATGATTTAAAGGAATCTTTATTCATATTCAAACAGAATAATTCCTTCACTTTTTGTCATTTTTTTATCTTGCTTTTGTTATTTTGTGTTTTTTTTTTAAATAACAGCAGATTAGAATACATAATGCTGAAATAATAATATAAATATTACATAGAACATAAACCTAGTCACCTTTCTACTCAAAATCCCAGCCATCCCATTTCTGCCCCCTGCTGCCCGCAAGCAGTACTACACCCCGGCTGTTGACTGGCACTGATTACAGACCGTGCCATATGGCAGATTTAACCGCCACCTCCCATGGAGGGCCATCTGGCTCCTTTGGCCCTCTTGATTTCAGTTTAAATCATTCTGTCTAATTATTTCACCTCAGAGTCCCCAGGCCTGAACACCCTTCCCCCCCGGCCCCTCCCTTTGTTCCAATTTTTTTTTTTCCATGATTCATTGGACGTTTGTAGCCACGTAGTATTTTTTTGGGAGGGAGTCCTATTTTAGCTCCATTGCTTGATTTTGTAAAAGGCAGTGGGAAGCAGGTGTACCAAGCATCTGCATGGGCACACATCACCTTATTTTATTTGAGTCCCTGTCTATATATGTGGCTATTAATAGCCATCTACACACACTCACATATATGGCAGGCATGAAGCTGTGAAGGTTTCAGACCCAAGACATAAATCACACTAATAACCTCAGTATCTGACACTGCCTGATTCCGGTTTCAGCAGTTGCTGAGGGCCTTTTCTCTTTCCAAGTGTTAGATAATCTGATCCCAGCGCTCCCGCAGAGAGAGAGAGAAGAGGGTGGGGGGAGGCTGGAGTGGGGGGCTGAAGGAGTCCAGGAGGATGTGACTCCGACCATGACTGTGTGTCATAACCTCTTTTAGCTTCAGTTAAGCTCCCCACGGAGCTGTTTCTGTGTCACAGGGTTTGGGAACGCTGGCTCCATGTCTTGGGACTCGATCTATGACAGGAAGTTTCTAGTGGTTTTCCTGCTAGTCACATTCCAGCTGATGGTCTTTTTGTTTTGTTTTTATTTTTTTATATTTATATTGTTCGTTTCAGTCTTTAAAAAATGAATATTTGGTCTTTTTTTTTATTTTTATTTTTTTATCCGTTTCAGTCTTTAAAAAATGAATGTCCCAGTTATTTTACCCCAGTTTTTTTCTCTTTGTATTGACTTGATTGAGCCTGACTTTAAATCTTTCTACCAATATATCCACCCTATAGAACAGTATTCCTACTGATTCCTACTTTATATAAAAACCATATTTATTTGCTGGTATTTGTGTTGTATTGCAGTACATTTACGTTACCTTTTCCCACCCTGCCTCCCCCAGGTATGGTCAATCGAGAAGTACTTGAGCAGGTGGAGAGAGGTTACCGCATGCCCTGCCCTCAGGGCTGTCCAGAGTCCCTCCACGAGATGATGAGGGTCTGCTGGAAGAAGGATCCGGACGAGAGGCCGACGTTCGAGTACATCCAGTCCTTTTTAGAAGACTACTTCACGGCCACAGAGCCACAGTACCAGCCGGGAGACAACCTCTAGAGGGACTGTGGAGCAAACTCTGTCACTGCAGAGAGACGCACCGGCAGAGCTCGGAGCAGAGGAGCAAGAGCGACGCTCAGAGAGGCTGCCGAGACTAGCGCCTCTGAGAAAAATGTTCAATAAACTAGTACAAAACCACGCGGCCACATTTGCACATGCGAGGGTTCTGAAGTAGAGGTTTTGTCCCTTTTGTACGCAGGGACCAAATATTTGAGGTACGTCAAGCTCTGGGAACCTTGCATATTTAGAATATCACATACGGACAACACTGTGATGAAAAGAGAAAGATATTTGTTTTTCCTAAATTGACATTTTTTTGCAGATGCACAGTTTCTTCTTTTTTTCTACATTTCTATCATATCTGCTCCTGTTTCTCCAAACTAGGATGATTATTTGTCAGTGGAGCCCTGAGCTCTTTTAATGTTTGTACATGAGTCGGGTTGTTTGGTTTAATCCTGTCAGTTGGCCAGTGTGTGGTGACTCTGTGGTGAAGAATGTGCTGTAACTGAGTGTGAAGCTGAGGTGGCGAAGCAAGTGACAAAAGGTGAGCTGTACGGCTGAAAGAATGTACTTGGAGGAAACCGACGGATTCCCTCTGTGTGGCAAAAACTGTTTTGTTTTTTTAATGGTTGACTTAAAAAATGAAAGTGATTGGCCTGATTTTCTTTTTTTTTTCGTCCTGGTCACTTGAATGGCACAAAAAAATCACATGGATTTATTTAGCATTTGCAGTTATTGCTAAATTTGAGATTTTACATGATGAAGTTCAGTGATGTTTTACACAAGCAAAAACTGTTTTAATTTTTATGTTCTTAAATGTTTGAAAATCAACATCAGAGGTAATTTTACTTTTTACTTTTTTTTTTTTGATTTGTTATACCAGACTAAATCATTCTGCACAAGAATTGAGTTGTTTACACAATTTGAGATTTTTTATTTTTTTGTCGACTGGCGAGAAAAAAATCTGAAACCAAACATGTAAAATTAGAAATATATTTTTAAATACATCTATGCAGAGCCTCCAGCAGGTATTTCCCCAGATTAAGTTGCATTCAATTCTGGACATTTGGGGTCACGTTAGGACAAATAAAATACTTTGGGACATTCTGCCCCCAAATGGGGCATTAGTGCTAAGTAGAGGTTGTGGGTGTAAAAACAAAAGCAGCAATAGTCCGTTTTATAGGTACGTCCTGTGTCTGTGTTTGACGGGAGACTAAAGAACATGGAATTCACAGAGGGAGCTACAGGCGAGAACAAAGATGTGAACAATTTTGTAATTTCTTTCTGTTGGTCCTTCATGAGAGACTAATACTGTGTGTGAGTACTCCTAAAGACTGGGACTTCAACTAGTGGGGAGATAATAATAAAATTACTCAGAATGGTAACTAATATGATTTTGTACAGAAGAATAAAAGTTTTACTTAAACAGTTCCATGAGTTTTCATGGTGTATTTCACATATATTGTTATATATCCTGTATATATTATATTTTTTTATTGGAATAACTGCTACAAAGATTTCAAACAAGCAAACCATGCCCCCTTGTGGGATGGTCAGGTAGTGCATCACTTTGCAACAATCATCTTCAGTTTCTTTAAAGAAACGTTTATTAGAATCGGTTGTATTTAGATTTTTTTGTGTTTGGGTTTTATTTACAACACTCAACAGTAAATGCTATAAATCATTTTTAAATGATGGATGTGATCAATATATAACACTACTGCACAGGAGGACAGTCCAGCTGATTCTACAGAGAGAGTTCTGGTCCAGGTGTTGAATTATTATTGGTCCTCAAATCTGCAAAGAAATGTTTGTTTATATGAGACAAGCTTTGAGCTGAACAACAGTGATGACATCATAAGAAGTAGTTCATGAGTGAACATCTCACCTGACCATTCCCTTGTACTTGTCCAGAGCCTCCTGAGCCACGTACTGGACGAAGGCCAGGTCCTGCATCTGCAGGTCTCCAGGAACAGACAGCAGGATAGGTGTAGAGTTCAGGATGTTCACCTCCACCTTGGTCTCGGTGCTGGACAGATTCTGCTCATCATGGTTTGCTGGTGCCATCTAGAGGGTAGGACAAGACATTGTCATTTAGTTCCCAACCATTGAATTTGTTATTTTTGGTCCTTTATATTTATTCAGTGTTTCCTCCCCCAGTAGGCTTGAAAAGTACTGACTGGCAAATAGTCCACGTGAAACCACGCCCCCTCCTGGTGACTGCAGGGATTGACTTTGTTTTTGTTTTGTTTTTTAGCATCCACTTCTCCTGCTCACCTTGGTGATCTGGAAGATGTTCTCAGGTGCTGCGTTCTCAGCTGGAGCCACCCAGCTGAACTCAGCCGCCATGTCTCTGAGCCAGCTGACCGTTTCATCGGCGTGACGCTTGACGATAGACAGGATCTCGTCGTACTGCTCTCTGGACACCAGCACCAGCTGGGACACTTCATCCAGCTCCATGTGCAGTTCACGTACACCGGGACACTCTTGGAGACGGAGCAAGTAAGTGTTAGGTCAGAAGGTGTGAGGACAGGTGTTCACGTGGTGCTGGTGCTGGTGCTTCACCTGAGAGCAGAGCTCCCTGACAGAGCTGACACTGGTCCTGGAGCTGCCAACACTCGGAGGTCTGTTTACGAAGATCTCTGCACAGCCTTTGGTTCTGCAGGAAACGGGGAACACTCTGCCTCACTGCAGTCAAAGAGAAAGACAGGTGAAGTGTTTTTTTATGCATTAGTTGAGAGTTAACTTTTTAACATGTTTGTGTTCAAACAGTGAAACACTTGCCTCTGTTCTTTGCTTCTCGTGTCGCCTCCTGTGTGACGTCAAACACCTGGGTCACCACAGCTCCAAACTCCTCCACCACGCTCTTTCCAAAGTCAAAGAAGGAGCTGAGCACTTCATCCAGACCCACGCCCTGCAGGAAGCCAGAGTCTCGTGCAGGATAGTAAGGGTCGGAGGTGCTCTCCTCCGGTGCCGTCAGAACATCGCTGTAGTTCAGGAAGGCTTTCTGGAGGACGTCGTCCAGTCGGCCGCTCATCATGGACACCAGGGCCACGCTGCGATTGACCACCAAGCTGACCTGGTCCATCCAGCGATGGAAGGACTCCTCAATGTGGACAAGCTCAGTGTCAGTGGTGTCAGTGCTGCGGGTCACCGGGATGTCTCCCCCGTCAGTTGGAGGTTCGTTGGTGCCAAATCTGCTGGAGAGCTTCTGGAAGAATGTCTCCACCTGTAGAACATCATGATAATGAGGTAAATCTGCTGTAATTCAAAGTTTGGTGTCACTCCTGGGAGTCACTGAATTTTGTAACATTTAATAAAACAACTGCATGGAGCGATCACACACACACACACACAGTTTTCCACACCTTGGCTTGGAACGTTCCAAAACCTCTCCTGCAGGTGGAGGTGTAGAAGGTTTTGCATGCATCCTCTAAGCAGGGTCTGCACTGTTCCCACTCTGACTGTAAAGAGTCCTTACACTGTTCCTCTGCTTCCTTCAGCTTTTCCGTCACCTCCATAGCCAACTGTGCTGCCCCCTGAAGGCCAAATTGAGGTGATTTTAATGTAAGTTGTTTTATATATGATGGTTAAATGTTTTATATGTAATTTTATATATCATTTGCGCTGTTAAAACAATTAACTATCTTTAAAAAATCACTTAAAATATTTTTATATTTTAATTTTTTTCTCAAGTTTCCTGCAGTACCTCCACAGTTCCCACAGAGGTCGCAAACACCTCAATTGAAGGCATTGGAGGTTTTAACCTAAACTTCTAATATGAATGTTTTGTTTTGAGAAGTTATTTCCACCTTCTTCTTGTCACCGCTGCGTCTCAGAGACTCCATCAGGTGCTGGTGTTTCAGCTGGTTCCTCCACATCACCTCCCTCATCTGTTTCACCCCGAACAGAGCTTTTCTCATCTCCTCCTCCACCAGCTTCTCACCCCTGACTGACAGCTCTGCAGGGGAGAAGTGAGAGGAAGGTTAGTGGTGAGATCTGCCTTCTCCACTGATGAAATGTTTAAGATCAGCGTTGCACCAGTTGAATCTGAACCCTAAATTGTGTATTTTATATTATTTATATTTATATATTTATATCTGCAAGAGCTTGAAATGTGTGTGAACTCACGTTTCAGGGTGTCCTCTGAGACATGGCTGGACAGGTCCTCAGCATCAGCGCTGACGACACCCAGGGTCAACAGGACAACCAAACTGTGCAGGAGCTTCATCCCGCTGCCGCCGCCGACTCCGGGTCAACAACAGATTCCTTCTGAAGGACGGTATGAAACCTAAGATGTATGTCTCCATACATTTTACATTATACATTAAAACACATGTTCACTGTGACAGTGGCACAGCAGAAACTCACCAGTGGGAAACCGGAGACACTTCTGGACCCAGGAAACAGAACGCGTCGCTCTGTGGGAACTGTGTGAAAATATCCTGACCAGGGTCTGGTCTATTTCTGCTCTTCCCAGTCTTTATCCTCTAATCTGATTACTCTCTTAGCCGTTGTAAATGCCCGTTAATCCGGCATTTGACATTACCAGAGACGTGTGCTCTGCTTGAGAGGATGTCTAGTCATGGCAGACGCGGTGTTTACTGCCTGAAAACATGTGATGACGACTGGTGGATGTTTAAATACAGTTTAAATTTAAAAAATCATATATCATTTCACATGTTCGTTATTTTCACACTGACAGCCACTAGAGGGCACTCTAGCCTTGTGTACATTATGTACTACTCCTGTACCACTGAAATTTTACGTTTGTTATTTTCACGTTGGCAGCCGCAAGAGGGCACTGTTGGGACTTATAATCCCGAAAATTCGGTAGTTGATGATTAGTTGTTAGGTGTTGTCTTCCTGTTTTGCAGAGACTAGAACTGAGACAAAGACGCTGTTCAGTGTCTCCACTCAGGGTGGACTCAGATGGACGGGGGGACAAAGGGGGGGTGAAGGCCTACGTCTTTCAACAACCTCCTGTCTCCTCCACAGACGTGCCCTCTTTTCATGCTGTGACCCTGAAAATGATGTCCACAGTGGGTTCTAACAGGAGCCAGACAGAGCACTCCAGTCCAGTCCTCGTCCTCACTGACACCGTCAACACCTGGTTCCTATAACCCCGCGGAGAGGAATGTTCTCCCCGTGTTCTCCTACGGCTGAACTAAACTTAAACCAGTTGACAGTAAAAAGGTTTGAGGGTAAACGCACGCCACCGCTCCTCAACTGCAATTAAAAAACCCACTCTACGTAGACTGCAATTAAGTGGTAGTGAACACGACTACCACTGTGTTGGTCGGTGTTGGTTGGTGCGTGGAGAAACTTCACGATGCAGTGAGATGTTGTCGCAGAGATCAAAGTGTTGGTCCAGGGCTGAGGAGATGAACAGGTGCTGAGGATAAAGGGCTTCAGTGGACGGAGATGTCATGGATGTTAACAGTTAAACCCACTCAGGTCAGGAACACGGAGTAGATTCTTTACTGACATATGGACGAGTTCTGATGTTGAGAGACAAGAGAGGAAGTCAGAGGAACTGTTAACACTTAAGATAAAACTTCTAAAGTAAAGTTATCCCTGTGTCCTTATTTAATAGAAATATATTCATGTGTTTGTACTACTGTGATACTAGGTATTTGTCTGTTGTATTTTCTTCACCAGGTTATTGAAGTTCTTCTACTTCTTTGACCCTAATTTCTTTTAATCTTTAATTTTCTTCTTTTGCTTTTTCTTCTTCAACTTCTTTCTCCTCTTCCTCGTTTCTTCCTCTTTCGTTTCCTCCTCCTTTTCTCCAGTATCTTTCATGTTCTTCCCTTGAGCTTCTACATGTTCTTCTTGAACTTCCTGTTCTCTTCTTCCATCCTCCTTTCATTTGTGGTTTTTTCTCTTTTATTTTCATTCTCTCCTGTGTCTCAGTCTTCTGTTCTATTTCTTCTTATTCTTCTTTTCTTTTTTCTTTTCTTCTTCTGCCCCTCTCTCCTACTCTGATCTTCTCATGGAGAAACCTTCCAGAATCTTAACCTGTGCGATGGTTTCACTTCAACTCCACCTTCGTCTCACTGTCACTGTCTCACTTATTTTCTTTTTTTTTCAGGAATGAATTTGACTTGTCAGAGAAAAGACTTCAAATATTTTCTTGTGCCTTTCTGTCTGTTACATAAAGGCACACACACACACACACACACACACAGAGAGAGAGAGAGAGAGAGAGAGAGAGTTGTAAGAACACGTGGTTTCTGTGAGGAGCTCCTCCACTTCCCCTCCGTGGTGAAGTTCGTCCTGTTGCTGCTGCTCCTGTGACACCGTCCGAGGGCTGGATCAGGACGCAGCTTCACCTCAGCATCAAACCGACAACTCTGACTTTGACAAACTTCTCCTCCACGTCCCAGACTTTGAACCACGTCCTTTCTCCTCTCTCTGCTGCAGCATCTGCTCCGCAGCTCCGCCTGAACCTGAACCTGTACCTGCACCGAGGGAGACACATTTATGGATGGAGGTGACTGAACTTTGAATTTCCAACCCCTTTAAAACACCGGGACCAGCAGAGCGGGGGGGCGGCATGCTGTGGATGTGACTTCCAACTACAGATTCTCTTGGCTGGAGCTGAAGGAAGAACAATGAAAGGTAGGCTGTTGTGGTTTGGTTTGGTTTGGTTTTTTATATAATGCATGACTGATATCTGACACAGGGACGCTCAGAGACACAGTGCTGCTCAGTGTTTTGGATTCTGGATGACAGTACTTTTCCTACAACATTCCTCTGTCTCTCTCTCTCTCTCTCTCTCTCTCTTTGTCAGCCGCGTGCGCTCCTTCTCTTTCTTTCAGGCACAGACGTGAGGAATGCGTGGGCTCCAACTCACGTCTCACATCTGGTTTCAATTAAGGCTCTGGGTTTGGGATTGTTGTTGCATCTGGCCGCTGCTGCACATCAAACATTAGAACCTACATGAAGCACAGCCATCAGTCATCACACACTAGTCTGACGTACACTTCAAGTACTGGCAATACTGTATGGTACTACATAGAAACACATCACTGTGCACTGATGTTGTTTTGACTTTGAGGAATATAGTAGTAGTAGTAGTAGTAGTAGTGCCAGCAGTAGACATAGTACTACTAACACTGTACATGCACCCCATAAAAGCAAGTACCCTACAGTGACCAAAGCTATACCTCATTCAATAACTTATCCTACAATATTTGGTGGAATCAAACCCACGACCATCTGCAGGACAGGCAGGTGTTCTACCGCTGCTGCACTGAATCAACAAACATTTTCTCTCGAATGACAGAAATGATCCCTGCATTTGTGTTTTCCACTTGTAAACATTGATCAACCTGTGGGAATCTTTACTACTAGAGGTCAATAAAGCCTCTAGGTGGCGGTGTTGCAATTTATATGCACTGCTTTTCGGATTAAAAGGTGAATTGAGCTAAAATTAGTTTAATCTAGAATGAATCTAGATTGCAGATGAAAAGTCATGTGTCCATTTCATTAACGAAAATACTTAAAATTACTTTTATTGTATTTTGGCAACAAAATGGCAACATCCAAGACCGGTCAGATTGACAGGTCGAAAGACATGTTTTATGTCAATAAGTTCTCAAAATGTCCACTCCCGTATGTAAGAGTATAAAATATATAAAATATTGATAGAAACTGGGTAAAAGTAGAATAAAGATGTTCCTGTTTCTACTGATATCAACGTGCAGTGTCATCTGGGAATCATCTAGTTACTCAACAATAACCCAAACCCAGACTCTATTTCAAAACACACACACACACACACACACATAGTGGAACGTTCTAGTTCGCTTCCACAGAACCTGATTGAACATCATCTGTTGTTTCCACATCTCTTGAATGAAGAACCTTTTAGGTATTACTTCACTGTTTGCAATATTTTTTAAGGAAACTAAATCATCACGGAATGTTGTCTTTAATGATGTTAAACCATAGAAAGATTTATTATTATTATTATTATCATCATTCTACTCCTATTTAAACCCTTTATAACTGTTTTTCCTGTACGTGTGCTCACGTTTGTGATGGTGTCTAAACCTGTGGCACAGCCTCATGAATGAGAAGCAGCGACGGAAACACTGACTCACAGCAGCCGTCTACACGGACGGCCGTCTTTCCAGGCCTTTAATCCCGCAAAACACACTTTCAACTCCATGTACACAAATACTGAAAAGTACACAAAGTGTTTAAGTACTGGGTAACGTTCACCAGCCGCTGATGGTTTGTATTTTATTATAGGCCTGTGTTTCTGTCCAGATGTGGTTCTTATGTTCGGATTATTCGCTGACTCATCAGCATCTGTTTAACGAGGTCCTAGAGTTCAAGATCATGTCTCCTGCCACCAGAATCAGTATTTTTGCCTAAGTTCACTGGAAAATAATGAATTATTTAGTGCTTAGCCACTGGCTAACAAATAAAATGAGTTGTTTTCACTCACGTATTTGTTTCGAAGAAGTCTTATTATGGTTTTCTTCATAATTACACATCGAATTAATAAATACTTTAACGAGTCAGTTAATTAAATATTTTTAACACTTTTTTAATCCTGTATTATTATTTTTTTTCTAATATTCTTCCAATAATTTCATTGTATAAATGGAGAAACGTCCGTCTTATAATTGATCGAATTCATTTCTCTGCTCCAACAGACGACTTTGCTGATGAAGAGGAGGTGCAGTCCTTTGGTTACAAGAGGTTTGGTAAGTAACGCAGTAAACCATATACAGTATATATAGTACCTGTACTACGTCAAAAATAAACACTGTGTAGTTTTGTTTAATAGAGAACATCATATTTCATTCAGAGTCAGAGTTAATTCCTGGGTCAAACACAGATCGCAGCTCCTTCCCCAGAAACTTGAACAAAAGCGTGTGTTCTTAGAGTCAGGGCTAACAGTAGAGACAGAGAAACCACAGCATCCTTGGTGTTCTTCAACAGTCTGCTGACTTTGCAATTTTTCCAGGGTCTCGGCCACACTCTTATTTTAATTCAGCACGAAACTGCGCAAGATAAATAACCTGGTCTGAAACCCAAAAATTAGGCCCAGAACGTCTGGATACCTTTCCATTTCCCTTTTCCTTTTTCTTTTCTGAAAATATATCTGTTCCATGGCCAACTCTGGAGAACCACAGCAGCTCCAGTTTCTCAACAGGTTCACCACCACACCCTGACATCTGGAAGTCAGAGTAAGTCACGGTCAGTTTAGTTTTGCGCAATCATCAATGCTTTGTTAGCAAGTTCCACCTGAGTTCAGGAATTAAACTGCAATCATTTACTATGAAGGAAAAAGTCACATTTTGAAAACACCTGCCAGGATTTATGCAATAGTTTTTCGTAGTGTATTCTAAATTAAACCAATGATTTAAAGTTTATTTATTTATTTATTTTCCCATCATCACGGTGTTTCAAATGCGGCTTCTTCCTTCAAACGTCTGTCGGGGAGCAGGAGTCGGGTTACGTCAGCACAGGTTAAATGGTCACAGCAGTCTGTCTGGTTTAAGAGGTGTTTAAGAGGAAGTGTGTCACGGAAACACTCCGCAGCCATTCAGCAGAAGGACTGAGCAGAGGGCAGTCCACACCGGGGTCATCAAGGTCACCTATACGTTCACATGCAGTGGGGTATCAGTCTTAGGACATTCTTTTATTTGATCAGGTTTTCAGCCTTTAAAGTGGATCAATTTTAAATTCAGAGCCACGGTCGACCTGTATTTAAAGTGCATCAATTTTAAATTTAGAACCACGGTCGACCTGTAAAAATTCTCAAAATTCTCATCTCCATCTGCTTTCCTTTGAAAGGGACTGGATTGTGTTAACTTTTAGACCTAAATGGAGGATATGTGGAGAAGTCGAAGTCGCCTGTTTGTTTTTTTACCCTCATCCTTGTACATCCTCAGACGTTTGGTTCTGCAGAGGTTTGCGTTGATGTTCTGGTCTCTGGTCTCTGCCTGTAGAGACAATTCCAGGAGGATTTTAAAGTTCTGACTTCAGACTGTGGATGTACACACTGTTACAGTTTGTTCTACGGAGCCATTCTGCTCAGACAGAGAGGTAGAACAGAAGCAGGCGTTGTGAACCTTCAGGATCCGTGACTGGACCGTGCTGTGTCAGCAAAGTCCAGGGGAAGGAGGGAGAAAAAAGCTGTGGATGGAAAAAGATGGAAGTTCAACAGTTAGCAAAGAATTCAAAAAAAAAAAAAAGGTTAAAGCTTTAGCCCCGGGTCTTGTGTTGATGTTTGTCACTTCTCACTTTCTGCTTCCGTGCGGCTGTTTTTGTTCTCTTTTCAGATGAGGACACTCTCCCCTCACGACTTATTTTGGGAGCAAAACAGCAAGTGGTTTTCATTTACGGGGTCTTTATTGGCAGAAAAGAATGCTCTTAGAATGCCTGCCTGTTACTTACAGCCCCCCCTCCAGGGCTTGCATGTGCACAGCGCCTGTTCCTGTGCCTAATGAAAGATTACTGGCTCGTGTTTTCAATAAAGAACGGGGGGAATCAACGGAGGGGAGAGGGAGATGGAACAACATGTTGACTTGTCGGTCTTTGTTCCAGTCTCGGTCCATGACTGGTCAGGGGGACGATAGGTCAGTCCAGGACTGGTCAGTTGTAGGGAGTCAGTCAGGAATGCATCACAGACAGCGCACAAATCACTGCGTCCTGGCAGGAGTCATCTTGAAGCACATTGTGAGCCAGGGTCAGTGTGGGACAGACAGACAGAGGTCAGAAAACCCCTGAACTCTGGGGTGGGGGGGGCAGCCCCTCAGCTGTCATCTGAAGACTGCTGATCTTAAATTAACTGCGGAGATAAAATGTGGCACAGAGAGAAGTCGACACACAAATGATTGTGTTTCAGTTTTTGTTTTCAGTAGCGACGCACCAGTCCCAGGACGATACCCAAACCTGGATGTGAAAACGTAACTCATCTGTTGTGAAAAAAATCAACTAAAATAAACGTATATATAGATTTAAAAATGTATATGTGCATGGTCTTAAATATTCCTGAAGTGACATTTAAGTTTCTTGGGATGCTGGCAAGATTTTTTTTTTTTTTGTGGCGTAATGATTTCCCTGCTCCAGTCTCAGTGCCCGTTCAATGGTCTGTGTGTGTGTGTGTGTGTGTTGCTCGAGGCTCTGTCACTGTAGCAAACACCCCATGATGAAAGCACATCGCTGTGGTTGAGTCTTTTAATTGACGCTCAGTTTAATGTCGTTCCCCGAGGCCTACTGCAGCTGGAATGTGTCAAATGTACTTTCTTACACTTCTGTCCCGGTTCTCTGTCACATTTTCCCATTTAATCATTGGTAACTTTATCCAGCACAGAGAAAATAAAGTTGATGCAATAAAACAACTTTTAATCATTGGTAACTTTATCCAGCACGGAGAAAATAAAGTTGATTGTACAATAAAACAACTTTAAAACTTAAAACAAACCAGGAACTGTTTCCATGGTTAAAAATGAAGCAGGAAACACTTCCTTCTTCGTGGTTAAATAATTTAAAAAGACATTTTTTTAATTTGTTACATCAAATAATTATTGGATCATTTCTAATCACGATGATCAAACTGGGAACGAGTGATGAACAAAATCTACCAAGTATATTTGGTTTGATTTTTCTTTTCTACTGTTCTCCTTCCTCTCTTTTCCCGTACCGACTTCCAGACATGAAGTTTGACATCGTTCCATCTGAAGATCAGCTCCTCTCTGTTTTTCACTAGTCGCACAAACGTAGTCATTTGAACAAAAACAGTCCTGACCGCCTCACGAAACTCCCTCACACCAGTTCTCACTTTCCCCCCCGCCCCAGAGGACACTTGACCGACGGTAACGACGTGCCTGCGACCGACTTGTCATCTGAGGGGTTGTTTTCTCTCATATAATGGATGTTTGTCCAGCTCTCCGTTCACAGCAGGTTTTGGCTCGGACACAAAAACAACACACGCCATGTTGGACGTGTCTTTGTCCCGGGTCTGTCCTCGGCCTCAGACTGACCGAGTCCTGCATCAGTGTCACCCTTGATTGAAGCCTTTTGGCTCCAGATGGGGGCGTCATCAACACCGCTGCTTTACTGACTTTGAAAAACAACAGAGAGCTGGAAAAACCAAGCGTGTGTTTTTCTTTGTTCTGCTGCGACTCACTCATCTGATCTGACTCTCCGGCTCTCACAGCTCACTGTGGTGCAGCGGTTGCACTGGCTGTGATTATGTTGGCTCCAGACCAGCGCAGCGCTCAGTGTTTTCTTCATGTCTGTGCCTCAGCACTTGTATTTTGGGGAGATTTCTGAAAAATGTTGTGCAAAGAAGCCAGAGGTGTAGCTTTTACTCATTGACTCAGCACAGAACGCTGCAGTGGCAAACAACGAGAAACATTCAGTCGGGCACGAAAAGTCTGACATCAGACACCCTTTTAACAGGATTTCCTACAAACCGGAGTCAGCAGTGAACAGGAGTCAGGACCATATACAGTATATATGTAGGACATAACAGACTACACTGTGGTAGCTAATAGTTAGCCAAGAAAACCAGAGAAAACTAATTGCACATTTGTTTAATTTGTTTAAAAGATGTATTTTCTGTTGACAAACTATAAATGTAGTTTGGTGCGGTACACTATGGTAATGGAATATAATATAAGGGAGGGCAAGACATGGTGTGGTAATGTGTGATAATGACATGTAAGGTACAGTGTTCACTAGTCGCACATCCCAAAGACTGGGTCGCGACCCTCAGGTGGATCGCAAGAGATTTTAGGTTTGGAAAACACTGAGCTATGGTATAGTAGGGTGTGGTACGGTACAGTACGCTACAGTATGGATAAATAGAAGATAAAAGCAAAATAAAAATGCAGTTTTACGGAAAAAAAAGTGACTCAGAAGAAAACAATGAAAACTTTAGAGTTCTGTGTGATTTGATTTAAGTATTTTCATTTTCAAACACAGGAATACCAGGAAAACAAATCAGTGGAGGACAATCTTTCCCCTTGAATCACAGGAGTAAATCATCGCTGTTGGAAATACATTTCCTTCTTGTGTTTATTACTAAGTGTCTATGACGGCAGAGGCTCCAGGCCAGTTTGGGTTTAAGACCCCGGGCCTGGAGGATCCAACAGTTCTCTACAACAGCATACTTTCCTTCCACAAAAACAGAGCGCTGAAGTCGTTTTTCCCACTTAGCTCTGACACAGCTGTCAGCAGAAGACATTATGGTCTGCTTGATGTTTTCATTTTAGCCGTTTAGCCTCTACTTTACTCACATCTAACAACACTGATGTGACTAAGTCCTCTGATTGGTTTGTGGCAGGTGGAAAGTTATTGATTTGGATTTCCTTCTCGTTGTTTTTTGTCGTAGCTCTGAGCTAAACCTGTCACACGCTGTCGTATCTGAATAATTCCAATATATTTGTAAGATAATCACTGTGCATGACACAAGAAAACAGATTTTGCCCAGAGTAGACATTTTCAGAGTAGATCCTATCTTCGGAGCCAAAAACAAAGCCAGACTTGGACCCGGTTCTTGGATCCACAAACTGTGGTTTCTTTGGTTCTCCAGGGCAATGAAGCCTGAAAGTGCTGCGTGGAGACAGAGCGCAGACCGGGGCTGATGGAGATAAAGTCGGCGGATGATTGTTGTTGATTTAGTTTTCTAAGTGCTTCCACAGCGGGCCACACATTAGACCAGACCACACAAAATCCTGACTGCACATCGGTCTGCGCTGCCGGCCGTGCTCGGTACCTGATGAGTGGATGAACTCTGCTGTGGTTGGTCATGGAATGGATTGGTGTATATGAATAGAATTAGGGTCTGGGTCTGATGTTGATGATGATGCATTGTGGGCTGTATGTTGTTGTAGGCTACAGGAAGTGATGCATTCAACATCTTCTCTACTGTAGATTTTCTTTTAGATTTTCTTTATTATAATATTACTTTGCTTTTTTTTTACCATTCGTTGAGACTCTGGCCGACTCCATTGATACGTTTTTGTATTGTGAAGCAGACAAAGACCTGATCAGCTATAACAACAGATGAGTGAGTCGGATTAGCGACATTTCCCTCCTCGAACCTGCGCTAAATTTCACGTACTGTTACTCAGGTTTTACTAAAATGAACTCATTCCACTGTGAAGAACCTGGAACCACAGGAGAACCGGCGGTGGTCTCTCGTTAAACCACTCCATACAGTCAATAAAGTGAGTTTACAGCTTCCACATTTTTTCTATTTAGAAAAGGGTTTTTAGTTGGTAGAATTTGGACGAAAAATTCACGATTAATCATGACTGACTGTGATAAACCATGAACTAAATCAGCCATTGTAAACATGAAGAATACGATTCTGTACATTGATGGTACAGAGAGACAAACAGCAGGTGGATTGTTGTTGTTTTTTGACTCATTTTTAACTTATTTACATGGAAAAATCTTCAGCTTCACACAGTTGAAGTACTTTAGTTCTTACTGTGTTTTGACAGCGGCCTGTGCAGTACATTTGGAACATGTTGTTTTATTAGTGTACATGCTGCTGCTGGATTAGTAGTGTCGAAGCAGTTTTTCTCTGTTTTTGTCCTTTCTCACAAATTTACAATCCGTTGGCCGACGATCGGTTGTTTTATTGGCACCACGCGGTGTGTGAGCCTGAAGAAAACACACTCAGCCTGAGTTTCACTCGCTGTGGAATCTGCTGACTGGAAGTCAAAGACTTTGTAGATATCAAATCCTGCCTCCCAAAATACCTCCCCCCCAGTGGTACACTTGCGTGCCAAAAAAGTATGTCTCTTCTTTCCACAATATATGACCTATATGTCATGTCTGTCTTCCCTCCAAACCAGACACAGATGTGATGACAAAGCCGACCTTTAATCAACTGCATGTTCACCGCCTTATTTAATAGGCCTGCTCACTGCTTCTCTACCAATTAGAACTCAGTTCCTCAGGGTATAGACAGCAGAGAGTCTGCGCTCCGTTTTATATTTTTAAAAAAAGGACACAAATTCTGTCCGTTTGCTTGGTTTCGTGAGACATTTTCAAGTGTATCTCGACTCCTATTGCACAACACTTGTGGACGAAGTACTTCGTGTACTTTGCAGTTATATAAACTTTGATGAGAATTCTTCATGTTCGAGGATGTCGTAGAGAGCAGCTGTTTGTGGTCCTGAGTGGTTGTGATTCCACCGCTCTGTTCGGTTTGTCCAGTTATGGAATTAATCCATGCAAATGTGTTGTTTTTATTTCAAGTGTTAGGGAAACGTTCATCATTAAACGCATCATGACGTTCATCATTAATCCTCATTAGGCCTCAGTCGTCCATCATTAATCCTCATTAGGCCTCAGTCAGTCTGACCAGAGTCACTGCAGGACAGACAGGACAGTATGTTACTTTTCTATCTTCTTCTATAAATTCCTCTCAGTAAAGTATTCAGCTGCATATCCATTTCTCTCCACATGGGGAAGCGTGTGCCAATAAGAAGTTATAAAAATACCTGTCCTTGTGCCGACTTTGCATTTTCTTTCCTCTCGGTGCGTGACATTAAAGGATGATGTATCAAATGTTTGCATGACGGTTCAGCTCGGCTGTAACGCGGTCCAGATGTTGTCGAGGGTCGACTCCCACTTTAAAGTGTCATAAACCTGTACACAGAAATAAGAATCAGAGCTCAGGCATGCAGGGCTAGCTCAGCAGATCCTGCATGCTAATGTCTTTGTAATTTATCTCAGCAGTAACGACCCCTGTTGGACAGTGTTTACTTGTTAACATTCCAGTTGGTAACTGTAATTACTGGGAAGCTATCGGAGCCAGAAAGAGACCCCACGACCCCCAGATCCTTCACAGCTCTGGGTTCAAACTTGTAGTAACGGTAACGGTCATTTCTTATCCTAAGAAGTAACTTTAAACTACCTGTTTAAAGCAGGCACAAAATGTGTCAGTAACATGACTTTCTCACCAGCAGGGGTGCTATAAACACACCATTCAGTGCTGATTTGACAGTTGAATTCACTGGTATATTCAAAAATATAACTTTTACTAGATTAGGAACTCAATCAACCATTTTTAAATTAACAAGTTCTAAGGTTTGAACCTTAAAGAGAAGACTGGCCACAGAATATAACAAACACCACATCATGATTGTAGATAAGTAAGACGTTTACTGATTGGTGGATCCATTTTATTACATTATTATTTTATTTTAAGGTTAGGAGATGAGCACATCTGCTGACCTTATTCTGGAGTTAAACTACGGTACAAATGGACACTGACCAATGGAAAGTGATTCTTCATTGTTGTGAACAGTGAACTCTCAAACCAAAACCCCAACCCTCTGCCAGATTTAGACGATTGCTGGGAAAACCCTGGAACATTTAGCAGAATCATTCAGGAGGTCTGATGTGGGAGGATGAACCACGAGGTTAGCATTTTGATTTCTGAGGAAAATTCTTCATGGCTGATGCGGAGCTGCTGTGAAACTATGACAAATGAATTCAGTTTTTGTTTCTTTTTTAAAATTTGATCACTGGTTGTTTTGACACATTCAACACCAAACTGAAGACTGTGAGGAGTTCAGATTCCTCCATGTGACATTACAGTCTGCTCAAAGGCTCAGCTCTGCACAGGCTTTCTTTGTGTTGCCATGGAAATTTCCACTGCCAGCAGTGAGATGGGGCATGTGGGCAAGTCTAATGGCAGGTACATGGAATAAGGGGGTAACTGTTGAGGGTTTTTTATTTTTGACTGAGTGAAAAATACAGCTGTTCTGCAGACACCAGTGTGAACTGACCCATCCTGCTCCCTCTGTTTCTGTTAACACTCAATACAGACACAATTTCTCGGATAAATACTATATATATGTATATATTAATATATATATATATGAATAAGTGAGATGCTGATAGTTGGCTGTGTTTCCAAATGTGCCTATTATCAATATTAAATAATCGATATATATTATTATTGATTTTCTTATTGACTCTTATTGAATAAGGGAATGAAAATATAGTAGAAATAGTTCCTATAGTTTTGTAGTTTAATAGTTTTGTCCTCCATATTTGAAGCTTGTTGACCCAGCGAGCGTGAGAAACACGTATGTGACGCTGCCACCATGATGCGGCTCAGAACATACGACCACAGAAATACCAGTGCTGCCCTCACCCATGACCCAGAACCCTCAGATGGGCTTGCTGACTGTTTGAACGCTCATGCGTTGTCCCTTAAACAGCATGTGGTCCAGAGCAGCGGAGGGGGCGGGGGGCGAGAGTGGCCCGGACATCCACGTCTCTGTCAGTGGCCTGGTCCCTTTGTGATGTTTGTACAGATGTGTGGGTCCAAAACAACAAGTACCCTTCTGGTGGTCCTGGCCCACCCGTGACTGGGTTGGACGGAGCCTTTTTTGGTAAGAGCTCAAATCCCAGCGTGCGTAATGTTGCATAAAACAAGAATCTGGCACTGTTTAAGGAGGAAACTATAAAACGATAACAGTTCCACAGAACATGTTGTGAAACTTGTTTAAAAAAAACAAAAAAAATGTTGGATAACGTAACAACTCATGACATCTTGAATACTTTGTCCATGTATTCTCTGTGTACTGCTACTAGAGTTGGCCTATGGAGTAGCTTGGTCAGAGTTTGCCTTTCGGGCAAAGGGATCAGCTGTTTTTGCTCGAGTAATTAATGAATTAGTAATGTGATTAGTGTGGTGTTTTTATGTTCTCCACTTTCTTCTCACTGTGCCAAAATAAGCAGGGTTGGATTCATTCTCTTCCCCGACGGTGCTTGTCTTAATTATTACTCCACTTTGTTATTGCTCTTAAATGTTTTGGACTTCATTCATCTTCTAGTACTCTAGTAACACTGGAGTCAACATATTTGCCAGGGTCAAATATAATCATTGAAGGGTGTCCAATTAGCCCACGCTCCGATCTGCTTGTTTTGGATTATGGGAGAAAAACAAAGTACGTGAAGAAAAACACAGGAAGTACAGATCACCTGAAGTAATCCAGTCATCTTCATGCTGCAGGACAGTAACACTCCAGGAGAAGAGTGAGCTTCATGTTTCAACTGATCAAGAGTGAGTGGAGGAGTTTAGAGTAGTGCTATATCCTATAAAGTACTACTTCATACACATTGTTTGTGTGTAATATGAAGTGTAAAGAGTATTCTACCCACACTGTCTGTTGTGAGCTGCCACGTCAGCTGTGACTGAAGTGTAAAGAGTATTCTACCCACACGGTCAGGTCAACGTCTTGTTTCCAGTGTAAATGTCTCGTGTTGTCCCACTAGGTGTTGTACTTTATCAGAGACTGTGATGTGAACAACCAGAAATTTGTATTTTATATTATAATATTTATCCAGTGGAGACCAATGAGGAATGACACAGACGTGGAGAGAGGCTGTACAGTCTGGGCTCCTCGTCATGTTGACGACACATGTTCACTGTTTTCCACCGTCTTTCAGATAGTGAGAGTTGTTGGCTGTTCACGAGGACAGATGTTTTTAATGGAGCCTTGGCTGGAGAACGGCACACCGTGTCCCACTCTGGTCCAGTTCTATTGAACTGGGTTATGACGTGAACAATACAGAGCTCCTCCTGGGAGTTCATTTTTGAAACAAATTTCTTGGCTTTCCTCAGGAACGTCTCGATAAAAAAAAGATATTTGAGTTGCTGTTACCTTCAGCAAAAATTGACACACATTTGTATTTTATGTCGCAGGAATCCAGGAGGGCACGGAGTGTACCAAGTGTAAGAATGACTGGGCGCTGCGGGCGGCTATCGCACTTCTCTACGTGCTGTGTGCACTGCTGACCATCGCAGTGGCCGTCCTGGGATACAAGGGTGAGTCAGAGAAGTACTGCAGTAAATTTGCTCTTGTCTGCCTCAAACTAACATGGACTATGTTTAAGTAATTATGGACTTGGAAGTACTACAGTACTAAATTAAATACAAGAGTGTAATACATTGTTTTCATCACAGCAAAGTTTGACCTGGACTCTCTAAGGTAGTTACTATATATTTCCTCCCATAAGTACAAATGTAATGGATAAAGTTAAATTTTCAGTCTAAATAATTCACTTATTTTGGTTGCAGGTGTGAATGTAAGAGTGACAGGGACACTGATGTTAAATAGAAATTGTGGGCTGATATGGGGGAGTGGAGGGGGGCGGGGGAGGGGGGGGGGGGGGCTGTGTATAGAAAACATGTTAAAATTATTTGAAAAAAAATATTTACCACCAAATATATCCAACAAATATCAGCCAATACACTGAACCCACTCTCCTGTTAACAAGGAATGACTTCATTTGAAGAAAAGAAACACGTTTGGATGTAAATCTTGCCCTGAAGCGTGATTCTACTGTCGGGGGGGTCTCTGTTGGAGCACATGGGATGTTGATGGTTCAGCTCTAATGTCTGCCAGATGACCAAGCAACAATCCAGAGGAGATTTTATGGCTTGGTAGTAATTTGTTGTCTCATGAACCACAGGTTAACTCACAAATGACAGCGTGTGTCCACAACAGTTGGAGCTTCTTTACACGTTTCTTCTTTAAAAATTAAAAAAAAAAGTGTTTTGTTGGTGAACAAGAGGTTTTACGACCATTTCTGATTTTCAAGGATTAAAAAAACACCAGTTTTATCTGTTGTATTGAACGTCTGCCAGTGTCAAAGAATTGGCTATGAACTGATAGACACCATAATGGGTGAGTGCCTAAATTTAGATCCCAATAACAGGCTTTCACCCAAATTATACAGTCATAATGTTATGTTATTGGTCAGAGCAGTGGTGAGACTTAAAAAGTTTTTTAAAAAAAGGAAGAAAGAAAGAACAGTGTTTTAAAACTGATGCAGAAAGATAGTTTAGCACATATTTGTCTGTATTGATATTTAAATTCTAATTTCTACCACGAAGGGACAAAAGTAAAGTGTAGTCATGGGCCTGACACCAGTGACACTAGTGACACTAGTGACACTAGGACAAAAGTAAAGTGTAGTCATGGGCCATTTTGATGTCATATTCTGTATTTATAATTTTTCACTTTTTTTTTTTACATGTTCAGGACAAAGTTGTCCCACGGGCCCTACTTTAATCTTTCTTAAAGTAAATTTATTCTAGATACATATTTAAATATATCTCGTACTGATTTTGTGTTGTTTGTGTCTATTTGAAAATGTTAACATTTCATTATGTTTATGTTGTTAACAGACAAATATCAGTTGGAGTGTGTACTGATCACCACTGACTCTAAAAGATAACAAAGCACAGTCTGCGTTCTCCAGCTCTTAGCGATTGACCAACAGCTCTTTCCAAACTCGGCCCAGATGTTTTTGTTCGTCCTGAGTGCATGTTTTCGCTCCGTGTTTTTGTCACATCTGGAATGCTAACAGCGAAGGATGAGGACGTCCTCCAGTACAGTTGTTAGATGCCCCCACACTGACAGGAAAACAAACCTCTGCAGATGTGAGGAGGAGATACAAAGTGGATCCAGAGTGAGGAGTTCTAGTTGAGCCTTTGTTGTGAGTCTGATATGAGGTCAAAACAGGATGTTGAATTCATCTGTGCACTTGGGAAATTAAGGTCTGTTTGTTTTTTTATTATCAATCAGCAGATGCACAGGCATCTAAAAATAGCCGTTAGAAACACTTGGCCTTACTGACATCCTGTGTTTGAGTTTTTAATTATCGACCCGAAAGGTATGAAAACAGCAGCACCCTCTGTTGGGTAAATACACGCTCTGCATCTAAATAACCGTCCACAACTCGTCGATGGTTGTTCAGTTATGGTTGAGTGAAGAAGACGCTGCAGGAGCACAAAGACGTGATCTGTTTCCATGACTACCCTTTCCTTTGTGAGCACATTTATAATCTTTTGGTTTTGAATATAACCTTTGTTTTTCTTTCCTTTTGTTTCAGTGGTCCAGAAAATGGACAACGTCACCGAGGGCATGCAAAATTATGGAGGCAAGATAAATGCAGTGGAGACGGATTTAAAGAAACTGGGTGAGTCCCCTGAATATTACACGGCCCCTGAAAGGAAATGGGGGAAATAAATAAATGATTAAACTAACAATTGAAAGAAATAAATAGGGATCGTACCCTAATGGTGAAAGAGACCAAAAATTCTCATTTTTTTTCTGTGTGACTCCCCCTAATGGTGAAAGAGACCAAAAATTCAAATATTTTTTCTGTGTGACCCCCTCCCACACCCCAGATGATCAGGCAGGAGAGACGTCTGTTAATGCTACGAGTGAAATCAAGACGTTCAAGTCAAATTTACAAGTCCTACAGAACCAACTGAATGACATTGCCCTCAGGGCGTCCAGAAACAGGGACATCCTGGACGAGCTCCAGTTCACTGGAGAGGACATGCCCAGTGGTCACGTGACCCTGCGGAGCCTTTTGGATGGGAATGCCGCCTCTGTTCGTGGACTGAACCAGACCTTGGTCTCCTACAGTAGCGTCATTGACAACCTCCAGACCGACACCGCACGGCTGCAGTCAGTCATACAGGGTCAGATCACGGAGCAGAGGCAGACCCAGGTCAACGTCAGCACGCTCAACATCACCCAGTTCCAGCAACGCAGCCTGCTCAGCACACTGCAGAAAACAATAGAAGACACAAGTCAAACAGTTCAGAAACTGAAAAATGACTACCAGGGTCTGCAGCAGACGGCACGGCAGAACCGTGCCGACACAGACTGGTTAAAGGAAAAGGTCCATAATCTACAAGTTCTTGCAGCGAATAACTCCGTCCTGGCTCGATCCAATGGGGACGCTCTGGACGACTTGGGGTCTCAGCTCAACACACTGGCCAGTCACATCCAGAACACCTCGACTCTCATTGAGGGGCAAGACCAGAACATGAGGGAGTTGATGGACCACCAACGGGACCACGACAATACAACGTCAACCAAGTTCGACGAGTTGGAAACACGGCTGGACAGGCAGGAGAACGAGATGGACGGTGTGACGGGAAATGTCAGCTTCGCCACACAGATCCTCGGCGCCATCAGCACAGATCTGAATGGGCTGCGGTCGTGCGCGGAGACAGTGATTCGTCACTCTGACCTGTTGCTGGGCCTGAACATGAGCGTGACAGAGGCCAGGGCTGAGAGCAGCGAGCTGAGAGCCCAGCAGGACGAGCTGTCCTCCAGGTTAGACCGAGAGGTCATCAACCTGTCCATGGTGATGGAGGAGATGAAGGTGGTGGACAGCAAGCACTCGCAGCTCATCACCAACTTCACCATACTGCAGGGTAATGCTGTGTTCAGGTCATGTTGGTTGTTGTGATTTAAATGTTAATATGTTCTAAGAACTCAGTGGATTAGGTTGATTGATTTGGCGATTGAAATACCAACATTATTATTATTATAAATATTTATAAAGATGGTGATGGCCATTGAAATACCAACATTATTATTATTATTATAAATATTTATAACGATAGTATCCACACCATCTACCTTTCCATAACTAACAAACATTTTTGATACCATTAATGTATTCTTTCTGGAATGCACACCTCTATTTATTACAGCAGTGTTTTTGAGCGACAGCACATCATTTTGTTGGAAAGGTCACACGGTGCATCACCGAAAATAGATGTCACAAAAAAACACATGATGGAATAAAATGATCTTCCTGTTTCAGGTTACTCTATGTTTGTGGTCCTTCTGTTCCAGGTCCACCAGGTCCAAAGGGCGCCAGGGGAGACAAAGGACCTCAAGGGCCTGTTGGCCAGACAGGGTCAAAAGGTGATAAAGGAGACAAAGGGGTGCCAGGAGTGGCTGGACCTAAGGGGGAGAGAGGTCCTGCCGGACCACCAGGTGTGGCAGGTTCAAAGGGTGCATCCGGACCTCGAGGCCTCCCTGGGTCTAAAGGATCTAGAGGGTCTGTGGGCCGACCTGGAAACCCTGGAGATAAGGGAGACCCTGGAGTTTCTGGCCCTCCAGGTAGAGATGGACTACCAGGGCTGCCAGGACCGCAGGGTCTTCTAGGCCCCAGAGGAGCAGCAGGACCGGCAGGATTGGATGGACCTCCTGGTCCTGTTGGGCCTATCGGCCCTCCTGGACCCCCAGGACTCCCAGGGATCCCTGCACCTGTGCCTCCTGTAGTTGTAAAGCCGCCACAGCCAACTAAGGGCCCCAAACCCCTCAAACCAGCTGAACATCCTAAACCTACAAGGGAGCCCCAAGAGTCTATGTCCAAACAGGTCCAGACCCCCGTGGCCACAACTCCAGCTTCAGGTGAGAAGAATGAGAACAAACAACAGAGAATTAAATGATTTAAAATACTACGTTACTGCATTTATTCACGTAGTTATTTATTAACGCTACAATGTAAACATTCCAGGTTGTCCACCTGATTTCAAGAGGTTTGGAAACAGCTGCTACTATTTCTCCACGCAGACATGTAACTTTGACCAGGCCAACCTTTCCTGCACTAACATGTTGTCTCATATGATAATCATCAACAACCACGAAGAGCAGGTACTTGTCTGTCGTCAGTGTTCAAGAATAATTCAAATCTCTAATTGAAATTCAATAATAAAAAACTTATCTTAATAATCATTTCTACATTACATTCTACATTTTAGCAATTTGTGAAAAACGCCACAGCTGGAAAAGGTTTCTTCTGGCTGGGCCTCACTGACAGAGAACAGGAAAATACCTGGAAGTGGGTGGATGGAAGTAGTCCTGTTTTCACGTGAGTTGAACTCCCCACAAACGCCGGTACTTTTTTTCTTAACCATTGTCAAGGTTTGAGTCTTTAAATGTAGTATTTATTTCCTTCAATATCCAAGTACTGGATCTGTGTACCTGACTCGAACCTAATTCCCCAGTAACATAATTTCATGTTGTCACTAACAGGAGGTGGAAGCCTGGCCAGCCTGACAACTGGAACCACGGTCATGCAGATGGTGAGGACTGTGCCGGACTCATCCATAGCGCCTACTGGAACGATTTCTACTGCACCGAACACATTGGATTCATCTGTGAACGTGCATCAGACAGTGAGTACTTCAGAACACCAGGTTGTACACAAATCTGTTCCTGTCACTTAATCAAAGTTTTTCTTTCTTCAAGAATTAAAATAAAATAATAAAGACTTTAAAATTTTAAGATTGGAGACTTGAGCATCAGTCACATCTGAGCCTTTTTTTATATATATTTAGATTCAGAATTAGAACCTGCAACTGACAATCAAAAAAACTATGAAAACAGAGGGGCAGCATCACATCTGACACACTGAGAATCTTCTTTATAATGATTTAAAGGATAATGTTTTATGCAACCACTCCAAACTGCACATTTAAATTGAAAACAGTTGCACCTCAGAATTTCTGTGCTCAGTTTGAATTCAAACTTACATTTTTGTCTGAGTTTTCTGTTGATCAGTGAAAGCATTTACAGCGTACTTTTGTATATATCACACATTAAAACAACTCTCTAACGTGATGTGTTTGGTCTCTCTACACAGTTTCAGCTCCAGTTTTATAGTATCTAACAAAAACAGAGCCAGCTGACTTTGTTGGAATATGATGAAGTTGATGAAAGTGCCGATGCTGGGACAAAGACGACAAAGACAGATCTCTGAAGGAGCCCTGATGAGGACTTTCTCCTGGAGTGGGACTTTAGGCCTGGCTTTGTGTCAACTGCACGGTGACTAGGACAGAGACAGAAGACACAGAGCAGAGCAGGCCAACCACTACGTTTAGTTTGTATTTGTACCGCAGGAAAAACACGAGAATGTAGTCATTTGCACCATTTATTTTTGTTCAAATATTTTAATTTTTTAATTAAAATGATTTTGCAAATCAAAAGTTTAAATAAGAGCTGTGCATCACTAGAATAATGTGATCAGTGACTTTGTGTTGAGATTTGAAATCCATTTTTTTTTTGTGATCTATTGGGCTGTAGACAGTTAGCAGTGTTGCCAAGCTCCGTGAAATGCCTCGTGAGAGAGAGCCGGTGCTGGATTGGTGGACTAGAGGAACAAACCTGAAATATATTCAAGCTATGATAACTCTGTGGTGTAGATCCTGTTGTACAGGGGCATCTGTAAATATTCACAAAAGGTCTTTTCATGGTTATATTTTTCTGTCAACATCATTTTCCTCATTGGAAATCTTTATCTGAGATTTGTTGTTAATAGATGTGAACTATTTTTATAAAATCTGAGTTTCCACAGGATGAGCAGCCGCTGCAGACTTGTGTAAACGTCCTCCTCCTCCTTTCTGATGATTAATGCTCAGTGAGTGCATTGCTGCTGTTTCATCGAGGGTAATATTTACTAGATTCTGCCAGATTAATACATGAAGAATACATTAAGGATTTCTTTTTATGTTCAGCCATTTCGTACAATGCCAAATATATATACATATATGGAAAAAAATATGCAGTTATGGGACATGTTTAGATTTTGCATAATCACTTGTTAAATGTTAAAAGCTTCTGGTCTGAGGAAGAGTGGGCTTATTATACCTACATTAAAAACCCCTCAGCCCAGGTCATTAATGACAACACGGTTATGAATAAATGTGTCTTGAGCCAAAACACATACTGTACATGTTTTGAAACCATATTATACCTTTGATGTGTGGAATTTAAAAGGAAGTACTTTCAAGTGATGATGTCACCGGTTAGATGTTCTACAATCCTAAAGGGTAACGTAAGGTAAAAATGAAATGCGAATCCAAGATGCTAGCTGCTGTTGACAACACACTACTACCACCCAACAAAGGAAGGGAGCTAACTGCTGTCACCTGGAGACCTGCAAGGCAAGAAAAATGGGGAGGGGATGTGATATTGCAAATACCACCTGTTGTAAAACACTAAACAAGGGAAGTAAGTCTGGCAGCAGGAGGCAGTAATGCAACACAATGGATACTCAGTGTTGTAAAAGAGCCAAGAAAAAAAAGAAGCACTGTCATGTTGTCATCTACAGCAAGAAGCACAGCACATGGAAGAGGAGACGAAGGAGGCTGCACCGCTGTCTTAAAACTCCACAGAGAGAAGAAGAAGAAGAAGAATGTCTTCTCTATCCATGGCTTCTGCAGTTTAAAATTCTATTTGGAGTTTTAGAAGAAACAAAACTGTGTTTTCACCAGGAAAACGAGGCAACTTGTTATTTTCCATCAGAGTAAAACAGACATGGAAACGTTCTTGGTGAAAAAGGGTGATGTACTTCACAGCTGCAAAACCCGCTACAGGGTAATGGACTTCATTGGAGAGGGAAGTTTTGGTAAAGTTGCCCAATGTTTAGACCTAAACATGGGCCGCAGAGTGGCTTTGAAAATCCACAAAAATAATAAACACATGGTGAACGAGAGTGAAGTGGCCATACTGGAGAAGGTCCGTGCTCTTGACCCGGACCAAAACAACATTGTTAAATACATTGATAACTTCAGGTTCAATGACATCTCATGTCTGGCGTTTGAAATGTTGGACAGGAGCCTTTGGAAGTTGATGGAGATGGATAAATTTGAACCCCTGAGTCTGGCTGAAATTCGCTCTGTGACCTATCAGCTGCTGGTGGCCTTTGAAGCTCTCAAGAACATTGGTATCATGCACACAGACCTGAAGCCCGACAACATCATGCTCGTCAATCACAGGGATCATCCATTTAAAGTCAAGCTGATTGACTTTGGATTGGCTCTGCCAGTTCGTAAAGCAAAAGTTGGAATGACCATACAGCCCGCTGCCTACAGGGCTCTGGAAGTGAACTTGGGTCTACCCTTGTCTGAATCTGTTGATATGTGGGGAGTGGGCTGCATCATGGCATTTATGTATTTTGGCATGAACCTCTTTCCCAGCAGCTGCGCATACAAGTGGATGAAAACTGTGATATGCTTACTAGGCCACCCGAACGACTTCCAGATAACTACTGGCAAACACAGCTTGATATATTTTACCTGGGATGAGTGTGCACAGTGGAGACTGAGGACACCTGAGGAGTACCACAGGGAGACGGGAATCAAACCGATACATTCGAGGCGGTTTACCGACCTTGCTAAGACCTTAGAGTCTCTGCCAAAGAAAACCTCATCCAAACAGGACAACGCTGAAGAGAGGGTGGCATTTTTTGACCTTCTTAAATGTTGCCTGCATCTGAACGCTGAGAAGCGAATAAGGCCGAGGGAAGCGCTTAAACACATTTTCATAACAAACATTCACTCAGTGGATGCTGTAAAAAGCACTAATAGGACCAAAATTGAGTCAATCCATGCCATTTGTTTGCCAGAAGTCCGTGGTGCCAACAAACCTGGGGCTGACATGCCACCTGCTGAGACCGGTACTAGACCTAAGGAAGCCAGTAAACACGGTTCTACACAGAAGGTTTGCCTGGGGGACACCCCGAAAACAAGTTGTGTGATCAGGGACGTGGTTCGTTCTGCCAGAAAACAATCACGAAAAAATGCAGAGGGCAGAAAGTTTCAGAAGAAAGCAGCAGTGCAAACTTCTGGATGCCACTTACTCTTAGATGTCACTAGCAACCAACCGAAACAGTTACAAAATGCAGGAAATGTCAACTTGTTGCCAGTGATCAGTAAACATACTGTTAAAAGAAGTTCTTTGACGTCTCCACCATCAGCAGCCCACAGACCTCCACTTTCAGTTACTGATGGTCAGCCTCAGCATCACGTTCTCTCCCCAAAACCTGGCTGTGGACAATCTATTCCTCATACCAACGTGCCTTCTCCGGTTCAAAGCCCGTCCTCTGATACTTTAATAATTGGTGATTCCATTATCAGAAATGTGAAATTGGAAACAGCCACAACATACTGCTTCCCCACTGCTAAAGTTTTGGACTTGCTGGCAGAGATCCCATTGCTCTTGCACAAACATCCGCACGCCAAAAATGTTGTAATTCACGTTGGAACCAACAACATCTCCGTTCAAACATCTGAAGTGCCCAAGCTTGATTTCACCAGTCTCTTCCAGCTGCTTAAAGGCTATAAAAAGTCTGTTTTTATTTCTGGCCCCATCCCGTCCATCTGCAAAAATCTCCAGCACTTCAGTAGACTCCTCTGCCTCCACATATGGCTGCAATCGGTTTGTGCCTCACACAGAATTGTTTTAATTGACAATTTTAATCATTTCTGGGGGAAACCATCATTTTTCAGCAGAGATGGCATCCATCCTAACCCGGAGGGCTCCAGTGCCCTCGCCGCAAACATTCTTCATGCAATCAACCCCACCATACGCAAATAAAAAAATAAAACTAGCATAAAACAAAACAAAAATAAAAGATTTTCCCAAGTTAAAAGTTGCCTTGTCTTTTAAATAGTAATGTTTGGGACCTGATTTGCTAAATCAATTGCTTTTGTCACATTCTGTGGCTTCAGTGTCACAGTGGCAGAGTTTTGTCTTACATTTAGTGGGTGGAGTGTTAGTTAGATGGCGAACGAGGCTACCATAGTGTCTTCATTAGTGATATCTGACAATGAGTGCTTTTTACATTCAAACTAAATACAGAAAGACAATCAGATAATGCAGTGATTCACAAACTAGTGTGTACTGTATATATTTCAAATAATTTGTCTTCATTTGTCAATGTGACAGTGACAGAACAATTAATTACTCACCCAGTAGATGGCAAGAGATAATTAATTACTCACCCAGTAGATGGCAACAGATGGTCATAAAAACTTGTTAAAAAGGAGTTGTTGAAGAAGATTTTATTTATTATTAGCATTGTGTTCAGCTAAACAGGTCCAGCCTCACATAACTGGATAAATTAATTGTGAGTAAGTTCAATCTAGGGGATAATTATATATTTTTCATATACTATTTGGAACATTTTGTGTATTGGAGCACTGTTGACTTTTTTAAGTAGGAGGTAAGTTACCCACGTTGGATTTAAAAAGTAAACGTAATGTTTTGTCTGTTTTTTGTTGGCACCTCTAATCCCCCAACCGGCCCCCACACCCTGCCCAATCCCATCTGAACCCCCCCAAATTTTTTCGACGCCCCTGGCCTTCACCATTCTCTGATCAAAGCAGTGAGTCGACGTCACATGATCGCCATCACCTGACCATGACATGGATGTTTTCTTAACTGCAGGGGAAATTTATGGCACCTCGTTCGTCTTAGACTTTTAATCACAGTTCTACGGAGTTCGGTTGTTAATGATAGTAGTAATTTTAGCAGAGAGGGGAGACACACACTCAACATTTAGCTTGTTGACGTCTGTGGAAGCCGTGACTGTGGGCTAGAGCCGGCTGGCTCCGCTTGACACCCATGCGAGCATCATTACTATGCTCTTTTAACTCTATGAAATAAGGCACAGAGCGAATTAAAAGTAACGTAAAAGGGCACAATTCTGCTGTCGTCAAAACAGCAATGATGCCTCTCTTTACGACCAACCCATTCGACCAAGATGTTGGTGAGTAATAAAGAATCGATGGCGTTTGTAGCCAACTAGCTGGAGTGGATCACAGCTTTGTTTGTTTTGTTCTGCGGTGCATAGACTCAGAACTAGCATCTGTTCTTTGTTCTCGGCTTGTACTTTTGTGAGACATTTGCAGAAGTAAATAAACACACTCTAACGTGACATGCTTTAAATGTCTGCTGTGATTCAATACAGTCCGGTTGCCTCAGCTAGCTCAGTTGACCTGCCTTTTCTGAGTTAGCATCAACTAGCATATGCATTTTTAAAAGCGTATTTAAAGCAATTCAACATCTAAATTCGTAATAATGAAAAGGTGTTTCTTTTATCTATACACCTGATAAACAGTATTCTGTCTTAAATGTAACCCTCGATTGTGTTGTTTACAATTATACGTATGTGACTCAGATGTTGTTGTCAGCTAAAGTAGCTTGCTAGCTTGTCTGACTGCCCTCCATTGTACTGTATGTATTTGTTGGCCGGCACAATGACTATGGTGTATTAAATACATGGAAACCATAATTGGCGCATGGTGGTGTTTTATCTAGTCAGCCTCATAATGCATCATAGATCTGTGCTTAAGTTTAGGGTTTAATCACTTCTGGACGAGAAAAGTACTCCTCACAAAGCTGCAGTTGTTTTTGGTGACAGTAAATGCTAATTAGGTCAACCCTCTAATCGTATATTTAGCTTGGATTTAGCTTAGATTTTTATTAGGTTTAACAGAATGCAGCCTTTTCATGTGATGGTTATTGATGCATGATTGATCACAGATTGTCTTGATGGTAATTTCCATCTTTTTGGCAAATAGAATGGGGAGACTTTTTTTTTTTTAAAGAGAGTCAGGTTGAGATTTTCTAACTCTTCTGTTGTAACCTGCAGAGAAAGCGACCAGTGAGATGAACACAGCCGAGGACTGGGGCCTCATCCTGGACATATGTGATAAGATAGGACAGTCACGCACTGGGTGAGTTAACTGTCTCCAGACTAAGTCAGACATCAATAATACAATTATCAGGGCTGTTTATGTATGTGTCTCTTAGGATTTAGAAAATGTAAGGGTATTAAATTCAAACAAAAATGTAAAGTAATGGTTTACTGTGTTTAGAAACAAGATATATTTAAGTTTGATTTTTTTTTTTTAAATACCTCCTTTCTCCATCAGGCCTAAAGAGTGCCTCCGTTCAGTAATGAGAAGAGTGAACCACAAAGACCCTCATGTGGCCATGCAGGCACTTACTGTAAGTCAACAGGATGCAATCCTGTGTGGTGTAATTGTTATTATACAGTTCACGGTGGACAAATGATGACCTCGGCTCCACACTGACATGGTGTTGTGTCCATCCTGAATGAATCTTCATAGTGGAGTCAGTTTGTTTGGACACATGTTTTAGATCATCTCTCAACCTCTGTAAACAAATGGGAGTTCTCCTTGTTAAATGCTAACACATGCATGTCTTTTTGTTGATGCTGACAACAACATAATGACGTGTAACATTCAGAACACGTCTGCATCGATGTGTACATTGTCTGTGTGTGTTTATGGGAACTGGGGTGTTATGTTATTATATTTTAACTAGAGTGATTAAAATGAAGACATTAATCAGGGCTTTGTTTGTTATGGATTACTTATAACGTCGGCTAATTATTGTTTCCTATTTTTCCATAGCTCCTTGGTGCTTGTGTCTCCAACTGTGGGAAGATATTTCACCTGGAGGTCTGCTCCAGAGAGTTTGCCAGTGAAGTCAGTAATGTCTTAAATAAGGTACGCAGCCATTATTCTCAGCTTTTCTTTTGTGCCAAATGTGCTTATTTATGCTTAAAACTCATTAAAGAAATTTAATTTACTGTACTAATAATTTTCTGAAAAGTCTTAAAAAATCATGTAAAATTCATTTTACAGGACATTTATTTTAATGATAATATTCTGAAAAGTCTTAAAAAATCATGTAAAAATTCTATGAAGTATTTTTGCTTTATGTAAATATTTTAAATTGCATTTTACGGCACATTTATTTTAATGATAATATGTTCAAATTCTTAATTTTTGGTCCAAGCATTGTCTTTACTAAACCGTTCTATAAATGTTAATCCTGTGTTCTTATTCATGTTTCTCCAGGGCCACCCTAAGGTGTGCGAGAAGTTGAAGGCCCTTATGGTGGAGTGGGCAGAGGATTTCCGGAACGATCCACAACTCAGTCTTATCTCGGCAATGATTAAAAATCTACGTGAGCAGGGCGTGACCTTCCCAGCAGTGGGATCTCAGGTAGGCACCAAAAAAGGCCGATAAGGGTTTTTTTTTTATATTAATATTTCCCTAACCCCATGATAAAGTCGAGGAAATATATCACAAGGTAATCTATCAAAATGCTTGTAATTGGACTCTATTGCGATAACAACAAACAATAATTTGTAAAAAAAAAAAAGAAGTTGTACAAATTATCAACAAATATCACCTCAAACTTTGTTTTCTCAAGTTCAACAATTATAAAGAGCTATCGATGTGGTCTGCAGTCTCACCATTATGTCACAAATGATCACTAATTCGACCATTAGAGTAACGTGAGAAGCTAATTACTATCTATTTGCAGGCTGCAGAGCAGGCGAAAGCGAGTCCAGCTCTGGTAGCCAAGGATCCATCCACCGCTAAGAACAAAAAAGAGGAAGAGGATTTGGCCAAAGGTAATACATTTTAGTCCTAACACACATCACACGTCAGTGAGGTGTCAGTAGAAAAAAACGTTGGCACATTTGAAGTGATTTTGGAGCCACTTGAGTCACATTTTACTGTAAACAACAATGTTTGCAGCTATTGAGCTGTCACTGAAGGAGCAGCGTCAACAGCCGCAGTCGTCTCTATCGGGCCTTTACCCCAGCACCCTGCTGTCCTCACACAAATCAGACGGCAGAAAGGTCCGTGCCATTTATGACTTTGAGGCTGCTGAAGACAATGAGCTCACCTTCAAGTCGGGAGAAATCATCACTATACTGGACGACAGGTGAACACCGCATACACACAATTTATTGAATTTGTTTGTTGTCCAGCAAATGACATCCACTCTGGCTAAGGTAGTTTGGCTTCCGAGAGCCTTGTCTCCTAAAAAACAAAACAAAAACTAAGGAATCTTTTCAAATCCTTAAATACCTAAAATCCACAAACACAAACAAACAAACATTCCGGTGGACTTCCTGTTGCCCCGATAAATAACTACAAAAATGATGTATTTTTGTAATTCTATATCTCTAATGTATTATTTTGTAAATTTCCTGACAACTGTCAACTGACAAAGGTTCATTTAGCTTGAGTTTACCTCACATTGTCAGTGTTCCATGCAGTTGGCTCCAAAGGCCACATGAGGTCGCTGCAAGAAACAGGGTTGTATATTTGTTGGAGAATACGAATAGTTTGCCTGGTACTTTTTAAAAACGTATTATTGGTTTTGATAGAGTGGGTGAGAGAACTGACCAGGTTTACTTAGTAAACAGAACATTGTTTTATTTCCTCTAGTGACCCCAACTGGTGGAAAGGAGAAACATACCAGGGAGTTGGTCTTTTTCCCTCTAACTTTGTCACTGCAGACCTCACTGCAGAGCCTGAGATGGGTGAGTGTACATGAACACACACACACACTGCACAAAGTTTGCTCATTTATATCAAAACCAGTTGCACTGAGATCCCATTTGGTCCATTGGCATCATCGCTGTATAGATCTTACTGTGGACAAGAACACTAACAGTAAACCAATAAAACAACAATTAACAAACAACACCGTGACACACAAAAAAGTGCTTCATACATTTTCCTTTTCCACCAGGATAAATGTAATCCTCTGTCCCACAGAGACAGAGAATGTAATTGTCTTCTGTCGCTGCTGAAAAAACACAATTAAATTGGCTTTTATAGTTCAACTTATGAGTTAAACTCTCAGAGTATTGTTTAAGACTTTTTTTTCTGTTTGGTGCTATTTGGAAGGTCCCTTCTGTGTTTTCATTACAGTGCTTTAATACTGTATTTATTATTTATAGAGTACATAATGAAAGTTCAATAATTGCTTGGACTGCTGCACCACATAAATTGAGTTGCATCCAGACCCGACCTGTGTCTCAAACTGCTGCTGTTCCCCATCCCGTCTCCACTTCCCTTCTCTCTTATCGAAACACAACAGTCAAGACAGAGAAGAAGACGGTTCAGTTCAGCGAGGACATCCAGGTGGAGACCATAGAGCCTGAACAAGAGCCAGTCTATATAGATGAGGTCTGTTACTGTCAGTCTGCACCGTCTCTCTACTTCACTGACATTTAGCTGTTGATTCAAAGCTTTGTCCCCTAACAAGCCTCATCACAGATACTGATATAAAACATTTCAGGACAAAATGGACCAGCTGCTGCAGATGATCCAGAGCGCTGATCCCACAGACAACCAGTCAGACAGCGTTGAGTTGCTACAACTCGAAGGTAAAGACAAAGATGAAGAATTTGAAGTGTTGAAGAGACTGACGTACCTGACAAAGTCTTTATTACTAACTCACACTGTTATTATTATTATTATTATAATTATAATACATGTTGATGATAGATTTCCACCTCTTGTCAAAGGGAGGATGTTTTTGACTTGAATTAAGATTCTAAAACCTAATTTTTGCTAGTTTGCTAGTTTAATATCTGGTCTTTTTATATACAGTGAGGATTAGCAACAGCCCCGCCTCCTGACCCCACGACCCTGAATACAATCCAATAGAAAAACATCAGGGAATTAATATAATACACTTTACATTCACAGGTGCTTGTAATCAAATGGGACCCCTCATTGACCAGAAGTTGGACGACATAGACCGGTAAATTAAAACAGCACACTGCTGATATGTAGGAAAATTAAGTCAACATTAACATGAGCAACATGGGTATATATAACAAAAAAAAAAAGAAAACATGTGACTGTGTTTGGGTTGGGTGTGTTCTTAGAAAACACTCTGAGCTGTCGGAGCTGAACGTGAAGGTGATGGAGGCTCTGTCTTTGTATGCCAAGTTGATGAACGAAGATCCAGTCTATGCCATGTACGCCAAGCTGCAGAGCCAACAGTACTACATGCAGCCGATAACTAATGCTGCCCAACAGGTAGAGTGCTGTACACACACCGGCAGTGCTCTCTTGTTTTGTCCTGGTGTATTTTAGACTTCTCAGACTGTGATTGGTCTGTACGAGGCCATCTATATTAGTACCAACATAATTGTTGTCTCACCACAGATCTACCCTGCTCAGCCTCCGTCAGGTTCATACGCAATGAACAGTGCAGCAGCACAGGGTTACACCATTCCCATGGAGCAGCTTCCGCCCGGAAGCACAATTCCAGGCCAGCCAGCTCCAGGGTAAGAACCGCACATTTCCCGGAAGCACAATTCCAGGCCAGCCAGGTCCAGGGTAAGAACCGCACGTTTTTGATCAGTAATTTATATATTGATCTGTGGGATTTAGGAAATGTCCTCAGTTCTCCCTACGTGTCTTTTGTATACTCTGTTAGTCCACCTGTACTGTATGTATAAAGACCATGTCATGCTGTCTATCTCCACGTCACAGTGATGTTCACATGTACATGGGACAGGCTCCAGTCTACACTGCAGCTCCAGGCAGCATGGCCCCAGCAGACATTCAGTCCTACCAGAACCCTGCCCCTGCCCCAGGTCCTGCCCCGGGCATGACACAGACTCCAAGCTACAGCAACCCACCTGGTCTGAGCATAGCACCTTCTACAGACACCACACAGGTTCCCTATTCAGATAAAGCCTTGCTATAGAACCTCATTAGATCATTGACCAGGTCTGATCACAAAATGGTTTGAGAACTTTTTTTTTTTTTTAGATTTATTTAATGATCACTCATAACAAACAGATCAGTTTGAAGTAAATACACCCTGACAGTGGCTCCATCATTCATCTGTACAGATATACTACATATATATATATATATATGCATATATATATATATGCAGTATATTGCAGTAGTTGCATTTTTCACTCCTGGTTAAACAGTGACCATTGTGTTTTTATTTAATGAACTTTCACGAAGTTACACAGGGCTTGATTATAAGCTCTGTGCTCAGTTAGCGCCACCTGTTCCTTCTCCCCTGTGTTTGGAACTGATTTAGTGCAAACATGAAGAAGCTTTTTTTTTAACTTCATTTTATGGTCACTGATTCATCTCGGCCTCATTCATTTTAAATCTTCCGCTAGCAATATTGGTTTCCTTTTTTTTATGTTTTTTAATAGTGACCGTGCAACAATTCATTAACACTATATGGGTCAGTATTTTTATTTAATTTTGTAGCAAACTTAAAATTAGCTTACTTTGATTTATATATCAAAAATCAATAGTCTTAACAGTGTTTTGATTTCCCTTAGTATCAAGTCTACAGTGGTCTTTTCCTGGAACATTAGGAAGTGACATAGCAGTGGAACTGAGCCTTTAACTGACGCGACGTCTCTGGCTCGACAACATACTCCAACACACGTGTTCTCTTCATGTGTTTCCCGCACACAGTGACGTTGATAAAGTGAGACTTAAGGCAGATGTCAGACTATGGCCACACACACACACACAGTTTAAACTCAAACTGTTACCAGTCAGTCTCCGACCATAACCCTGTGGCAGAAGAAATCTTCATCCTAACTTAAGAGACTGGGAATTAAATGTCTCCCTAATTAGGACAAGCATGTTGTCTCTGTAAAGATTATAGGTTTCTAGAAGACCAGTAACGACGCCAGGTATAGTCTTAAATAGGCAGCAAATACAAGAATACACACAATCACATCTTTATCACCGCTAATTCATAACACAGATGAGTTGGCGACATGCTTTTTTTTAACTTACTCATTTTTTTTATACGTATATAAGTATATATCCATACAGCCAGAAATGGACATAAGACATAAGCTACTACGTCCTGTATATGTTGACATCTTTTAGAAGTACTGCAAACTAAAGCCACTTTGTTTGTTTCTTTTTTTTTTTTTTTTTTAAGTAAAGTAAAAGAAACATGGGAGGGATCTGAGCATGCACATGACTCTTGTATATACTGTACTGACTGAATAGTGAAGTCACATGATAACCTCAACTGTGGGAAGTTCGTTAACACAGCTCTGGACGTTTGGCCAAAGGTTAACTCCCCCGTCACCATGTTCCAGTTCACTGAAAAGGGCCAAAGAAAATAAGAAAAAAAAATGACACTAAAATGATCTCAACTGCTACATTAATATGTTCTTCTTTTTTTAATTATTAATTTTGCAGAGGTCTTCCTATTTTTTTTTTTTTTTCTATAACCAAGCATGTCATTGTCAGTGGTAGACATGATCCGTCTGCGTTCAGAAGCTGTGCTAACACACCCTCTCACTGTAGACCTGGCTGCTAAGAGGTGAATTCTGTGATCCGCCTTAGCGTCTCTTTAGTCAGTGTTGGTTCATTTTGTAGTGCAATTTAATATTGTTTGGTTATTGTTATGCTATTTTAAACTGAACAAAAGTTAGTTCTGGATGTATGTACTCAGAGAAGTGGATTGTGTGACTATTCTGCACTAATCTAGTTGTAAATTTCAGTGGCTGACCTGAGAACATGGACATTTCTCTCTGTGTTTGATACTTGCTTATTATACTGTAGGCTCAAATGGTATTAATGTGAAAACTGACCAAAACTCCACATGCTTTTCAAACCTGTCGCTCACCACCTCTACCTGAAGCAAAACTAAATGTGCAGGCAGGGTTTGTGAAAGTCATCAAGGCCTCCGTAATCGGTTCCGGTGCCATGTTGAAGGAAGGATCAAACACCTCTGATTTTGAGTTTTGTTACAAGAAATTGAAAACCTGAGAAGCCAAAAAACCTATACAGTTTGGGAATGAGTTTCGTTCCAAAAGCCGACTTTTACCGGGATTTTATTCTTGGTTAAATTGTCATTTTGAATGAACTGCCTCTTGTCCCTGTGCTGCCTCCACAATATATAAAAACATTTACCTTGGACCTGGCAGCTGGGACAGTGCAAACATGAGGACAAAACCAGATTGATTAAGGCAGGCGTCATTAATCTGTTTTGCTGCCTAGAATAAATACTAATAAATAAAATCAGTTTGATCAATGAAAGCCAACAAGATCAAAGTAGCTGCAGTTCTCGGGCCCATGAGACCAGAGCTCTGTTCTACATCATGAGAAACTAGACCCTGGCTACACCATGCGACCCATATGTGACATGGTCGTGTAAAGAGATTGAATTGTTTGGGGTTTTTTTTAGTTTAAAATCAGCATTTATGTTAAAAACAACCCTTGTCTAAACCTGTGCCCTGCTGTTTGTATGTACCATTCTTTTAGCCATACTAATTAAATTGGTATTCACAATAAAACCATGCCAAATGTACAGAACATTTCTGCTCTTTGTTTTTAGCAGCTGAGTCCGACACATTACTATGTCGATGATTTGGTTTACAACATTACCATGCACAAGTTTTAGACGGGTGTAAAAATGTACTCAATACATTTCCTGACGTCAATATGTTGTTGTTGTTGTTGTTTTTTTGTTGCAAATGCTTAAATGATTTCTTACAGTATCTTAAACAAGTCTCTTAAACAATGTATGTTCTATTCATGCAACATTTTAAAACCAGTGTCACATAATTGAAAAGAAATGTTTCTGTGTCTTGTTGTAAATCTCCACATCAGGCTCATTGTCTTCTTTCCTTGACATCATGGGATGGGAGTAGTATCTTTGTGAGCCTGTAAAAATGTGAGCGTGACCACCTCATTACCTGAGCAATAAAACATTACAGCCTGTAGTGCAGTGTAAGCGATGCCAGCGAGCAGAGTCCACCAGCTCCTGTCCCCAGTTTCTGTGGATAATCATCAAAGTTCTGACCAACAACAACTGGTGACCAGGGACGATGCCTTCAGGGAAGACGGTCAAGCTCATCCTGTATGAGGCGCTGCAGTTTGCTGCCCTCGTCACGCCTGTGTTTGTGATAATGGAGAGGTTTGCCAGGCTCGTACGTGATGTCAGGAGCGGGGATCACACCGCGTATTGGCTGGTGGTGGCGGTTTCCATCGCCTATGTGACCTCTGTGACCCTGCTGGTGTGGGTTCCTCTCAAATATCTGCTCCTGAGGCAGCGGGGCTTCATGGCTGAGATCACACTGTGGTGAGTGCAGCGGACGTCAGGGGTTTAAAGGCTTATCGTTCACACCACAGCTCCAAACATCACAGTCTTTCTAATTGTTTATTAAGACAGAAATGTTTATATGTTTGTCTAACTTGGTGTTTAATTCTTTTATTATTCTTCGTCTCTTTGGCTGTTAAATTTAGCTGAAGTAACAAATTCGTGTCTGTATTTTTGAATTTGCGAAAACACATATATTAAAATACTGCCCTACAGCAACTGACATCTAGTTGAAAAGCTTCCTTCAAAAGCGTTACACTTGGATGGTTATTGTTCATGTGTGAACTGATCAACGTGTCCTGTCTTTCAGGAGGCCGGCAGCGCTGGCGTATCTTGTCCTCTGTACGTTTCCTTGCTTTGCTATTTTGATCACCAGCTCCAAGGTAAAGTCTTCTCGACTAAACCTCCTGTCACTGAGAAGCACCTGGTAAAGTTTGGCGCTTTCATGCTCCAAAGACCCTTGAGGAACGCTCCACGTCCAAAAGAGTCCGTTTCTGGCACCACTCATTTTCCCACTCCCTTTCATGTGTGAGAGAATTTGCTGAGATGGGGCTGTGCATTTTGACATGTACAGAGGTGGACTTTAACACCGTCTGAATCACTAGAAGAAGGCAATGTCAACCTGGTCACAAGACTCAGCTATGCTACTCAGTAACTTTTAATAAACTTAACAGGTTGGCCATTAACCCGACTCCAATACCAGTTTAAACAACCTTTCATCACGCTTACATCTGACCATTAGTCTCATCTAACACATAGAATGTTTATTTTTATTATTGTTATTATCGCATTTATGCTGCACGTCTGATACCAGTAATTATGGAATATATTGTTTGTCTCACGTCATGCATTATTTCTCATGCTGCATTTTTTTTATTTATTCATCAATTTATTCAATTATTGTTTTATGACATTTAAGGTGCAGGTAGATGGAGGACACAGGCTGGACCATTTTGCTGAGTTGCCTGTTTCTCTGCTGCTCTTCTGTCTCATCTGTGTGGATGTAATAGAAAGGATTCGCCCCTGCAAACTCACTGGACCATGTAAGCAAATGAACTGAGGAAGAATTATTATTCATAAAATGTCACGGTGGTATGTTCATCTGTTTGTTTTTGATTATTGACATGTTGTGAATTTAAGTTAAATACCAGTGAACCTCTTGTTAGTTGTATAATTCGATTGACGCAGATGGTATACGTCTACCTTAAAAAAATAGTTTCCTCTCACAAAAATAATAATTATTATTCTGCTCTTGTGAAAAGAACATATTGTGACAGCGTGAATCCTCTTATCTGCAGCAGACTCCCTGGATCCTGACCTTGAATATCCAGGCCCTGTCCTTACAAACCTGGAACAGGTGACCACTGTCTCAAGCCAACTGCGTCCCGATGAAGGCCAAAACGGGTTGAACCCAGTCCATTCGGAGGTCAAAAATGGCATCACCCCAGGCAGGCTGCAGCGCTCCAATGCCTCACCCAGCCAACCAACTCCCAGCTCACGGGCACCAAGCACCGCCTACCTGTACTCCTCATCCTTACGTCCGAGATCCTACTCTGGGCATCTGAGCTTCCTGTGGAAGAAGGATGGGAGGTCAGAGGTATTTGTGGAAACATTCCTGTTCTGGTTGGACACAGTGGAGATGGTGAGAGTTGCTGGAGAACCAGCAGTCTTCTACACAGTCTGGGTGTTTCCTCTCTATATTCTGAGCTTCCTGTCCACTCTTCGTATGAGCATCACTCCTGACAACCCTCTGTTGTCATTTGCCGGAGTGGTGCTGCAGGACCTTCCATTCCTTGTCCTCAGGATTGCTCTGATTGCCGTGTTTGGTCATGTGACACCTCTCTTATACCTGCTGAAAAACACTCTGGTGACCTTGACTTTTATCTACTTCACATATTTGACCAGGTTAAAGTTATTCAGAAGGCGCAGCATGTTTTAAGGAGGATGTGGCAGATTGAATGTTGGAGTTTTAACATGTGATGTATTTATGGGTTTGTGTCTATCATAAATAGTTATGCATGCAATAAATTGTAATCCAACCAAATGGAACATTAATAGGTTTTACATTTTAAAACAAATGTCTGAGTGTAAAATAAGTCAACTGTTCCTGTGACATACCTGAAGTATTTATTGAATCTGTAATTTCTTTGTTTCCACAACTTTTTTCTTCTTTCTCATATTTCTAGCAAAATGTTTAATGTAATGCAATAAATGTGGAAATATAGTGTAGACCAAAACATGGTAAGGCATGCCAGTAAAAACCTGTCGTTTGCTGTGGTAGTTTCTTCTAGTGTAGTAGTAAATCAGAGCTTTTTCATAATTAAAATCTCTAACAGGTGGCGCTTTGGCCCAGAGGCAATGTCTCTGTCATTGGTGTGGAACCCCAGGGTTCACCTCCTGGGCAAGTTCGAATCCCGGTTAGGGCGGTTGGTACCTTCCAGTGGACTCACCACCCGCAGGAAGGTTTGGTACGGTGCAATGTGATTTGGGCGGCGACTGCTGCCCCCGCGACCCGGTAACGGATAAGCGGATGAAAATGGATGGATGGATGGAAAATCTCTCTAGTGTAGTAGTAAATCAGAGCTTTTACATAATTAAAATCTGTCTAGTGTAGTAGTAAATCAGAGCTTTTTCATAATTAAAATCTCTAACAGGTGGCGCTTTGGCCCAGAGGCAATGTCTCTGTCATTGGTGTGGAACCCCAGGGTTCACCTCCTGGGCAAGTTCGAATCCCGGTTAGGGCGGTTGGTACCTTCCAGTGGACTCACCACCCGCAGGAAGGTTTGGTACGGTGCAATGTGATTTGGGCGGCGACTGCTGCCCCCGCGACCCGGTAACGGATAAGCGGATGAAAATGGATGGATGGATGGAAAATCTCTAACAGCTTTAATATATCATCTTCAAATTCTCACTGTGTTTTGACAATTTCACTTTTTTTATGGCTAACAATTTTTTGACCCTGAACATTAACTATGCATTATTCACTCTAATCAATTGTCTAAATATTTATGTTAATTATGTTATGTTAGTTTTTAATTAAAAAATATGCTTGCAGAAAACATCCTAACATTGGGAATTTAATAGATGTCAAATATGTATTTATAGCCACCCTAAATGTGGCAAGAGGACTTTTTCTAATTGAAACTTTTATTAAAAAGCCGTTATTAAAAATACTCATGTTGAGAGACAAGAAAATGACGATCCAGCTCAAATTCACGAGGGGGAACCAGAGCTGGCCTGCTTTCATGGACCAGAATGTAAACTAAAATTATCTTGCTGTAATTTCCCTGTAGCTACAAGCAGGCTGCGCTTTAATGAGTCATATTATTATTATCTGTAACAGAGCCCCTGTGCAGCCTGTTTAGTTGTGGCCTCTTTACAGAACGCTCGGTGTGTTGGCTGGCTCAACGGCGTTGTTTCATTCTCGTGACACGGACTGAGCGAGCCTAATTAGCAAACAGAGAAGCAACATCTGCTGCTGGACAATGTTTTTTTTTGTCATCTGGTTTCCTCCACCGTCTAAAACAACATGCAAGATTTTGTTAATTGGTCAACCATTAATTGAACAAAGGTGTAAATGCTAGAGCTAATGGTTGTTTGTACCTTGTAATGTACCATGAAATGGCATCACCCCAGGCAGGCTGCAGCGCTCCAATGCCTCACCCAGCCAACCAACTCCCAGCTCACGGGCACCAAGCACCGCCTACCTGTACTCCTCATCCTTACGTCCGAGATCCTACTCTGGGCATCTGAGCTTCCTGTGGAAGAAGGATGGGAGGTCAGAGGTATTTGTGGAAACATTCCTGTTCTGGTTGGACACAGTGGAGATGGTGAGAGTTGCTGGAGAACCAGCAGTCTTCTACACAGTCTGGGTGTTTCCTCTCTATATTCTGAGCTTCCTGTCCACTCTTCGTATGAGCATCACTCCTGACAACCCTCTGTTGTCATTTGCCGGAGTGGTGCTGCAGGACCTTCCATTCCTTGTCCTCAGGATTGCTCTGATTGCCGTGTTTGGTCATGTGACACCTCTCTTATACCTGCTGAAAAACACTCTGGTGACCTTGACTTTTATCTACTTCACATATTTGACCAGGTTAAAGTTATTCAGAAGGCGCAGCATGTTTTAAGGAGGATGTGGCAGATTGAATGTTGGAGTTTTAACATGTGGTGTATTTATGGGTTTGTGTCTATCATAAATAGTTATGCATGCAATAAATTGTAATCCAACCAAATGGAACATTAATAGGTTTTACATTTTAAAACAAATGTCTGAGTGTAAAATAAGTCAACTGTTCCTGTGACATACCTGAAGTATTTATTGAATCTGTAATTTCTTTGTTTCCACAACTTTTTTCTTCTTTCTCATATTTCTAGCAAAATGTTTAATGTAATGCAATAAATGTGGAAATATAGTGTAGACCAAAACATGGTAAGACATGCCAGTAAAAACCTGTCGTTTGCTGTGGTAGTTTCTTCTAGTGTAGTAGTAAATCAGAGCTTTTACATGATTAAAATCTGTAACAGCTTTAATATATCATCTTCAAATTCTCACTGTGTTTTGACAATTTCACTTTTTTTATGGCTAACAATTTTTTGACCCTGAACATTAACTATGCATTATTCACTCTAATCAATTGTCTAAATATTTATGTTAATTATGTTATGTTAGTTTTTAATTAAAAAATATGCTTGCAGAAAACATCCTAACATTGGGAATTTAATAGATGTCAAATATGTATTTATAGCCACCCTAAATGTGGCAAGAGGACTTTTTCTAATTGAAACTTTTATTAAAAAGCCGTTATTAAAATACTCATGTTGAGAGACAAGAAAATGACAATCGAGCTCAAATTCACGAGGGGGAACCAGAGCTGGCCTGCTTTCATGGACCAGAATGTAAACTAAAATTATCTTGCTGTAATTTCCCTGTAGCTACAAGCAGGCTGCGCTTTAATGAGTCATATTATTATTATCTGTAACAGAGCCCCTGTGCAGCCTGTTTAGTTGTGGCCTCTTTACAGAACGCTCGGTGTGTTGGCTGGCTCAACGGCGTTGTTTCATTCTCGTGACACGGACTGAGCGAGCCTAATTAGCAAACAGAGAAGCAACATCTGCTGCTGGACAATGTTTTTTTTTGTCATCTGGTTTCCTCCACCGTCTAAAACAACATGCAAGATTTTGTTAATTGGTCAACCATTAATTGAACAAAGGTGTAAATGCTAGAGCTAATGGTTGTTTGTACCTTGTAATGTACCATGGTGTACCCCGCCCCCTCTCTCCAGCCACCATTCCAATGCATTGACATTGAAAAGCATTGAAGATGAATAAATTAAATGGCATTTTGAATAATTCATTTGATCTCAGGGTCACGCTGAAGTTTTACTCTGAAATAATGGGTGCTTCTCCGTGCGTTTGTCTGCAGATCACTGAGATGTGGCAGTGGCTTCACGGCAACACATTTTAAATGTGAATGAGTTTTTGTCAGGTACTTTGGCTGTTGTGCAGAAACCTGAGGTGGGGTCCTCTGCGGATGACTCATACTGACTGCACCTGCAGTGGATCCTTGTATTTTTATTTATTTATTTTCTTTTTTAAGACTTTCCCTGGTGCAGTAAAATGTTTACTGTCTTACAGAGGGATGGGTTTAACAATGTATAGAATTTCATTTTTTCTTTCTAAAGGGAACATCACTGTGAAGCAGTAGTTTATTTTTGGTTTAGTTTCATATCAGTGTCTCAGTGTCTACTAGGCCTTGTCTTTATGGAGTTTTCTACAGCCACAATAGTACGACTTAGCTATTGTTTTTAAAATACCAACAAGTCTGACTGTAAATCACTGACAGTTGACTGACAGCAGGAGTGTCCACAATATTAAAACATAAAATAATAATAATCATAGAAAGGGAAAAGACTAAGTATCAAAATACATGATAAGATTGTGTAAATGTATATAGTTTTATTTTTAAACTTGTATCTAATAATTACTCACGACTCCCTTTAACACAGTCCACTTATTTGGAACCCCTGACTCAGGGTCTTCTATTAGTCTTGCACCATTTACTTACGTAATACTGGTCAGGTTTGCAGACAATTTTAGAATTTTTCAGGTACCACAAAACCACATGTAAGGATAAACAACCAGTAACAATTATGATTCATACCTGTGGTCAGTTTACAGCCTCCGTTTAACCTAACTCAAAATCTGCAGCTTTTGGAGCAAGTATCAAAATACATGATAAGATTGTGTGTGAACAGGAAGACCACTGCATCAATGATTGCCTTGCAACCGTGATGGACACAATCTGTGAGGTGATTGCAAAGGATGCTGGGTCATTTTTTTGGCATGACTTTTAAAGTTTGACAAAAAATCGGGAATATATATATATATATGTATATGTATCCTGATGTGAATTTTCCACTCATAAAGGTTCTTACTTGTAGAGTCAGGAATAAAAGTGAGGAAAGCACAGAGAAAAAATTCCCTCACACAAATGACAAAGGGGAAACAAGATCAGAGCAACAGGGAGCTGCACTGAAATATGAAGATAATTTGAAGATAATGATATCGAGGGTGGGAGGGGCTGGGGGTGTTTGATGGTGGAGGAGTGTGTGTGAATCTCAGATGCTGGAAGCACATTTGAATTCAGGCTGTGTCTCCTGCGCTGGCTGAGTGTAACCTGCTCTAGCATGGCAACAGAGGAAGAGAGAGAGAATGGGGGGAGAGGGAGAGAGAGAGAGAGAGAGAGTAAGACAACTGCAGCCTCCACACACACATGCACACACATGCACAGTTACCACAGGAGTGCAAAGAGTGACTCAGGTAAAGCAGGGATGCTCCTGGTGAGAGGAGACCCTGGAGAGGGTTGAGTGAGAGAGAGGAGAGACATACTGGAAGAAGACGAGGAGCAGAAGGAGGAGGAGGAGGAGCTACGGATCAGAAATTATTTTTTGAGCTGGATGAAAGGTGGAATCTCAGAGAGCCCAAATATCTCCGGATCTGGACTCACAGAGTGGGCTTAGCATGAGGGGAGAGACGGAGACAAGACGGCTCTGGATGTAGGTGCTCTGATTGGCTGAATACGGGAGATAAATGTACGAACCCCGATGTTTAGTTTTTAGTAGTGAGAATGATCGGGGATGTTTATTCTGAAGAAGCCAAATATGATGTTTGTTTAATGTGGCGAGCTGGGACGCAGCAGAGGACAAGGTGTGGTGGAGACGGGAGAGTAAACAGATGTTGGTAGATGAAGCACCTGTCCTTCTAGGCTGAGGTAAGCTCTCACACTGACACTCACATTTCAATCAAAGTTCAAACTCAGCAGCAGAACAGCCTGGATTTATAACACACTGAATCCAATTCTCTTCCCACAAGACACTTTGAAGCCGTGGGACATTTGGAGCTCTGCTGAGGACAAACTTCAGAGGAGCTGCTGCTTCTCCAGCCGACACCTCCCTGCAGCAACCTGTGGACACTGGAGGTGTGAGCCTTTTCCTCCTATGAGTTTCCAAACATCCCTGGAAGAGCAGGAGGTCTGCTGGATCACCGGGGTCATGAGGATCCTGCGTAGAAAGCTGTCCTGAAAAGACCCAGACCCAGAGGCTTTACACGCCTGGCCCCTCCCCTCCTCACAACTGGATGTCTTGATGTATTGCTGTGGGCTGGGACACTGGCGGAGAGTGCAGTCCACCTACGTAAGTGATCACAGCAGCGTCACACTCAGGTGTTTTATTGTGTGTGCGTGTCTCCACAAACCACAAACATTTAGTTTAAAGTCATGAATTCTGGGCCTGCCCCAAAACCATGACAAGCAGGGATAGATATATACATACAGGCAGAAAGGAGTCACTTATTTTTCACGTGTTTGCATGTGGGAAATCATCAACAACATTCAAATTTTAAAGTCATGAAGAAGCCAGAGCACATACATTTAATTAATTATATTTTTTATTGCTTTTTTTTTTACAAATAGCATTTCTTTAAATGAAAATAACAAATGTTACAAAACAGCAATATTTGGACATATTTTTTAATACTTATTTATTAGGCAAAATGACAAATAAAGCAATTTGAGTCTTTCCACTTTAACCAATTTAATGTTAAACCCAAGATCATGTTGTGTTGATGAGCTTCATCAACGCAACACTCTCCAAAAAAAGTTGAACAACTCTGAAATGTATAATTTTGTAGTTTACATTCACTGGATGAATGAGTGGTTTGAGAGCTTGCCCAACAGCAAGCAGATACCGCTAGTTCGATGCCAATGGTGACTCTCTTTTTTTTATGGCGTGTGGATGTGTGAGCGTGACTGGAACTAACATCACAGAAACATAGAATTCAGTTCATTTTTCTCTTTAAACTGACTACAGGTGTGAGTGTGAGTGTGAATGGGTGTTTGTCTCAGTATGTGGCCCTGTGATGGACCCCACCCTCACCCCCTGACTGCAGGGATTGGCTGCTGCTCCCAGTGTGACCCTGAAAAGGCGTCGTCAGTTAAAGCTGAATGAATGAACCTGACACCTGCAGTGTGTTATTAGCGTAGCATAATTCTTGTCTTTTGGCACAGCCTCCTCTGTAACTGTGCAGGCTGCATTAATCAGACAAACAAACAGCTTGTCTAATTTATGATTACATAAAAGTCTGATCCTGCGGGCTGCGTTTGAGCCGACAGTTTGTTTTATTTCCCACTAAATCACGACAACTGCTCCCTGTCACTTGCCCTGTCCTGTTCTGTCCTGTCCTGTCCTGTCCTGTCCTGCCCGAGATGTTTGACAGAGTAAAGGACAGACAGGTGCAGTCGTCTCACCACCAGCCAGATTTTACTGCCTCCTCAATAACGGAGGACCGTCTCAGTCCTCTCCTCTGCCTGCTTGTCTCTGATGTCTTTACCTGTCTCTTCATCTCCGTCTCTTGGTTCTTTCTATCACTTCATACCTCCGTTATTTCTCTCTCCTGGCCGTTCGTCTCCTCGACCTTTGCTGCTGCTGCTGCTGAACACTGTCTACTGTGTGACGCTGCGGACTGCAGCGCACCGCGTCCCGGTCCCATTTCTATAGACTACAGGCTCAGTGTCAGCACAGATTACCTCTTACCGTGTACCTACAGTGTATGTGATGTTTGTCCACCTCAGCAACAAGCACAGCCACAGATGGCTGAAAGCTGTGGTACTTCAAGTACATATGAGATCTGATGGCCACATTACTGCATATTTACTTGCAAGTACTTGAGTTGAAAAATTTGCAACAGCAAATCATGGTCTTTTATTTATTTATTTTTATCTCATGTCAGGTTACGGATCGGTGACTTGCCTCCCAGTCGACTGTATAGATTATCTTGCCGTGCCCTCAGATCACTGGGCCTCAGACCCCTCATCTGGGCCCTCACTTCCACCTCCATCCTCCCTCCCCTTCTGACAGAAAACACTAACACCAAGAGAACCATTCAGGAACCTTTTTTTTCTATTTAAGGAGGTATTTTAAATGATCCTGTCTTTGGTTATTTGCTGCGTCCGTCTTTCTTCCTCTGTGGTCCACTTTGGGTCATGATTTGCTGTGACTATGTGACGCTCTAGAGAAGGATGTCAGGAAGTAAATAATGGTGAACTGCGCCACCTGTCTCCATCTCTGGGGAGGCTGCTGCTGCTGCTGCTGCTGCTGCTGCTGTAAATGGTGCGTGTGGGATAAAGACGCTGAGCCTGATGTCAAAAGTGGCCAAAAATAAAAATGTGTCTTGGGTGAGTACTGTCCCTTCAGGGTACCAGGTGTGGAGGAGCAGGCTGGGTGTTGGAGGAAGATGGTGTTGGCTGCACATCTCATGTGTAACACATTCTATTTGTCCGTGTACAGTACACTCTATTTACTGGGAGAATTGGTTATTGATTTTGCCTTACATTGAGGAGGTTGCTGGTTCAATCCCTGGCTCCATGTGTGTCCTTCTTCTGAATTAGTAGTGTGTTAGAGGCATTAGGGTAGTTAAAGGCAAGGTGCAAAACACCCCTTATTAAAAATAATTATATATATATATATATACTCTATATATGATGTATTTATTACACTTTACATATATATATATTTAATTAGGGTTTTGCTCTTATGTAGTACAAAATTAGCATAAATAAAAACTATATTATTGTTTTATTGACATTGTGTTTTTAATGTCAGGTAATTGTGGCCCATAAAGTCACATTCAATTTGTATTTTTATTTTATTTTAAATTTTTGTGCACAAAAATGTATTTTATTTTCATAGACATGTTATTACCATTCACATAGTTGTTCAGAGACTAGGTTTGCAGTTATTAAGTATTATTATTATTATATTATTATTTGGATGGAGAACGTTTGCGGCTCCTGCTGCGTCAGTGCGGGGGTCCTTGACCTGAAGACCCCAGCTCTGAAGTTCAACAACTTGTTCTGTCAAATTTGTGACACAACATCAATGATGTATTCACGCCCACACACGGATGCCACCGGCTGTCCACCTGTCAGTAGTTGTCCCAGGCGTGGACAGTGCGCACGGGTCCAGTCTCTGCACTGGTTCCTCGGTGCAGAGGAGAAACTGAACGCTGTGTGGCGCAACAGCTGCGGCGCCGAGAAATAAGCCTTTAATACCCTGAAGACTAGAGAGAGAGAGGGCAACGACACTCGGCTCACAATGCGGACTTAAGTGAAAGCAGTCACGCAACGGCGGCGTCTCCGGCGGTGACCTGTGCGTCGCGGCTGCTGGAAACATTTCTCACCTTTTTTTTTTTTTTTTTTGCGGTGGTTTTTGGAAAACTTTAGTGTCATCCTCGGCCGTATGCACCTGAGAGTTGGATTTGGAGTTGGACACCTGTCCTAGGACACTTGTCCTAGGTCACGAGGTCATGTGTGATCGCTAATAACTAGTGGGTTATTACAGTCCTGCTGTAGTCGTCATGCCGCCCAAGAAAAAGGTTCACCGTGCAGAAAGTTGCACGACAGACAGAGAGTGTGTGTGTGTGTGTGTGTCCAACTATAGCCTTACATTATGCTGTATTTGTGGGGACATTTTTAGGTGATGTGTATTTTAAGATTCAGTATTAGAGTAAGGATTAAGAGGAGGCAAATATTTATAATAGCTGAGGTTTTGCATTATGTCCACAGTATGTGGAGTGCTCAAACAGAGAGGTGTGTGTGTGTGTGTGTGTGTCGTACAGGAAGGATAGGAGGATGCACCATCTGTTGCACAGGACGTTAATCCCAGTGTGAGGCCTTTCTACATCATTGCACTCAGTGTAACAGTCACCGTGCAGACAGCTGATAGAGACGCACTTCAACTGGCATGTCCTCATGCCAACGTGTCCGACTGAGGATCACTGGCCTCAGACAGAGGGGTTGCGTAACCCACGGCCTGCAAGGATTAGAATAATATCTTTTCTTGTCTGTATTATGCACGGCTTTGAAAATAAATGAAATTAAAGCAGATATTTAAAAAATCTATTTAAAATGTCCTAAACCATCAGAGAATATCAAGGTTAGAGGAAGGGCCGTGAAGGGGAGTCATTCTGAATCAGGCCTAAGAGCACCCATGTTTTGATTTATTTTTTTATATATATTTTTTTTGTGGCTGGTGTGTGTGTATCATCAGTATGTTGACTTTAAGGCGGTGTGAGCAGATGCAGTCCCAGCGGCAGCAGTGCTGTTTGTGTGTAAAGAGTTTCCATTTCTCTCTTTCTGAATCCTAGGTTGACGCATGTCGTCTCTAATCTTCTTACTCAAAGACAGTCTTGATCCACCGAGGAACAAGACAGAGAGGAGGAGACACAGAGAGAAAATATAATATTATAAATTAATTTCTCTGGGCCTATAAAATGATATGGCTGTCTTTTATTGCCGGAGTAAATATGGCAGTGCCAGTCTGGCCAGTCTCTGCTCTGTGGCATCATCAAGCTCAGTGAGTCCAGACTCCTCAGACAGATGATACAAATCAGCAGGTTAGACCAAACCCAGGATGGATGCACAGCAGTCTGTAGAAAAATAAATGTGATGGTAAATACCAGCAATCAAGCTCGTGACTGCAAAAAAAAAAAAGTGTTTTTTTCACTGGAACAGACAGTTTGGACAAAAAGTAGTCGAAAATTTGATTTTTTTTTTTTTTTTTTTTTTTAATTCCTGGGCTCCCGGCCTGCAGCTCATTAGAGTGCTGACAGGAAATTTGTCACTATTAGGTTAGTGACCTGACCTACAGTCAACAAGGAACTTTAGCAGAGGCTGTTTTGTAAGCAGGCCTTGTTTTTCTCCCTCCTGATGTATGATTGTAAGTCATCAGACTAATAACCTTCAGGTTTTAATGAAGGTCATTAGTCTCCAGCCAGGCAGGCAGAGAGATTGTATACAGTTGGTAGTATAAACGTCGGTAGTATTTCTTTCTCCAGTGTCTGTTTGCTCCAGTTCCCTCCCACAGTTTAAAAACAGGTTTAGTTTAATTAGGTTACATCAAATTACAGCTGTCAATCAATTCATATTTGATTAATCATTGAGTTTGAAGAGGAGAACATTTTAATTATGTTTTTTATTGGAGTTTTTATATGTTACAGTTTAACCACCACTGTTTGTCCAGACTCGAGGCCTTATTAGAACCTGGGTAATTATTTTTGCCAACGCATTTCAGGTAAAAAGAATGAACTGTAACTACGGTCTTTGTCCTACAGGGGGAGCGTCATGATTCGGATGCTGTTGAGGAAAGGAATGCCCAGGTGCAGTTGGAGAAGGCAAAGGTACGATGTCACGGTTGCATTTTTTTATTGTTATTATAGTTTTTCTGGAATCTCCATGGCTGCGATGCTAACCTTTTGTTTTGAATACCTGTCTGATGTGCCCAGTTCAAGCCTGTCGCATTCGCCGTACGCTGCAACTTTTCTTATACCCCAGCAGACGACGACAACGTCCCGGTGCCTGGTCAGGCCGTCACCTTCGAGGCCAGAGACTTCCTACATGTCAAAGAGGTTTGCAGCCAGTACATGATCAGATGAATGTGCTTTTCCATCTCTGGGAATAGGTATTAAACTACTCTCTGATGCACTGAATATTCAGAAGTTTAACAATGAGTGGTGGATCGGGCGGCCGGTGAAGGAGGATGGTGTGGTGGGCTTCATCCCCAGTCCAGTCAATCTGGAAACTATTCTCATCAGAAGAGAAGTCCAGGCCAGGAAAGCAGCCAAAGCGTTGGCAAAGTACGTGCACAGAGCTGAGCTTTTTTTTTACCTAAGATCTGAACCTGAATTTATTTTAGTTCAAACTAACTCGATCTGCTTTGTTTCACTTCAGTAAAGCAGCATCTCAAGCAGCTCAAGATATGAATTCAAAGAAATACACGCCACCATCACAAGGTCAGTTGGTGCTGAATTAGATTGAGGACTTCTGTTGTTGTTGTTGTTGTCGTCATTCTTGGTGCCTTGTGTGCTAACATTTAATGTGATGACATGGTTTGTGTCCAACAGCCAATCAGCAGGTGAAAAAGAAGCCGGTAAGTTATTTATTTTAATATGTAACATGTATATTATAGTGGCTTCTCACAATATAATCCCCATATTATATTGTTTAGAAAAACTGTTTTATGACAGTATTATTCATTGTGTCTGGACCACCTATAATAAATGGATCTTTGACTCTTTGTGGGTCGTCAGTAAATGTACAGTATATGAATAGCCCTGCCATACAGTATACCGAGTCAAGTGTCTTCTCTGTGACTGTAGGGGGAGCAGGTGTCCATGTATGACGTTGTCCCCACAATGCGTCCTGTGGTTCTCATGGGACCATCACTGAAGGGCTTGGAGGTGAGTCTGTCTCACATGATCTCACGTTGTTCTCCTTTCTTTGGGAAGACTGAAGACTGAGAAACAGGACTTTTTATGTATCTATATATTTTTACACCAGTGTATTTCCTTTAAAATGAGTTTTATGTAAAACCTGTTCAATTCATGTGTTTTCTCTGGAATTCCAGGTAACAGACATGATGCAAAAAGCACTGTTTGACTTTTTGAAGCATCGATTTGAAGGCAGGTAAGTTCTTTAACGTCACACAAATGTGTGCCGAAACAGAAACTCTTATGAAGTCACTGACTGTGATGTCGCTGCTACTGTGTCTGTGCTGCAGAATTACGATCACAAGAGTCACAGCGGACATCGCTCTGGCGAAACGCTCCATCCTCAACAACCCTGGGAAAAAAGCTCTGATGGACCGATCCAACACCCGCTCCCATTTAGGTAACGTTTGAGAAATTCAGTTTTTTCATTGACTTTGATTATTTAAAAAAAAAAATAGAATACATTTGTAGAGAACAAATCAAGCATTTGTGCTGATTAAAGTTTTATAGAGGGAATTTTTTTATAGCCACTGGAATTTTATTTATCAGCTGGAAGAATCAGAACATGGGGTTTATTTCAAAATAACTGAGTCATGTGTCACCTGCTGTGTTGTCCCACCCAAATGTCATCTACTTGTAATGCTAATTATAAAATTACAAAAGAAAAAGTGTGCATGTATAACAGAAGGGAAACGACTTGTGACCTCCCTCTCTCTACTTTTGTCTTTCTCACTGCTCTCTGATCCCAGACACTGCTGGTATGTATGACTGAAAACCCCCTTAGTTTAATATGTTCCTATGAATAAAATGTAGAAGAGTGCAAAAGGGTTTGGATTCTGATCAAATAACTTAAGAAACTGAACCATGTATATTGTGTGTCACAAAGAGACCATCACACCGTTCTTGTGCTGTTTGCTCCTGCAGCCCAAATCCAGGGGGAGGTAGAGCGGATCTTTGAGCTGGCACGTAGTCTGCAGCTGATCATTCTAGATGCTGACACGGTCAATCATCCAATCCAGGTGGCCAAAACCTCCCTGGCTCCAATCCTGGTCTATGTCAAGATCTCTTCTCCCAAAGTATGTTAATTAGACAGTTTAATATTTAAAAAAATATACAAACATCAGTCAGTTTCATCAAATCAACTTCCTCCTTTGTTATGCCTTTGTAGGTGTTGACCAGACTGATCAAGACCAGAGGGAAGTCTCAGACCAAACATCTGAATGTTCAGTTGGTAGCTGCAGACAAGCTTGCCCAGTGTCCTCCAGTAAGTTTAGTGGAAACAGGGATGGATTGATTTAAGATTGTACTTGTTGTGGACTGACGAGAGGTCGGCCTCTCTTTTTTTATGCCTTCTTTTTTTTCTTTCCTTCTTTTTCGTTCCCTCAGGAAATGTTTGACGTCATCTTAGATGAAAACCAGCTGACAGACGCCTGTGAACATATCGCTGATTATCTGGAGTCGTACTGGAGAGCAACACATCCACCAGAGATGGAGCCTGTCAGTGCAATGGTGGCTCAGCTGGCTGAGAACACACTGCCCACCAGTCCTTCAGTAACACCGGTATATTGAGCACAGTTACTGTGTGTGTGTGTGTGTGTGTACAAAAGGAAAAAACAAACCTCTACTCAGATTTTCATCTCATCTCATTCCACCCGTCATCTGTATGAAAATCTGTAGGAATATATATAGTGTATATATGTGTGGGTGTTTAATACCATATAGGTTACAGTCTGCTGCATTTATATTTCTTTTCATTTTTCATCTAACATTTCCATTTCATTTCTCCTCACACTCCTCCACTGGAAAGTTGCTGAAATAACATACAGTAGGTCTACCTCTGGTGAGTGACTTTACATTTCTACCCAGTTACATTTTCACATTTTACTACTGTAAGAAAAAATGAACAAACCCTGACGATAACTTAAAGTAAGTTCGGAAAGACATTGAAGAGTCGGTTCTGTACCACTGGATACAACTGCCCCAGAAACTCAGGTAAAAATCTTTTTGCATCACTAGTGAAAGACACTTCAGGTCATCGTTAAATGGAAAAGACAAAGTCTTATTTATATTATTTGCTTTTATTTATTATGGACATTTTATTTCACCTGTTATTTTTATTAAACAGGAAAAGAGTAAACTACCATATTCCTGTTTTAACTTATCTGAACAGTGTTTAAAATAATAGCTTAGTGTAGTTTGTAATGAATTTGATATATTAACTGATGAGGAAGGAATGTGACACAAGGGATTTTAGTTCAGTTTTGTGTTTCAACCATCATCACTTTATTTGCAGCAGCAAACTAAAAAAAAAGGTTCCTCTCCATATGTGAAAGCACAATGTGACAAATTTGAGCTGAAAAGAGTGTGTGTTTTAAGGTGGGTTGAAGTCGAATTTTCTGTGTTTTATTTCAGAATGACTATAAAAACAAAAAGTCAGCAGCCACCAAGAGGAAGAGCTCCAAGGACAACCAGTTAGACCTGGACCCTCCTTCAGGCCAGGCTCAGGAGAAAAGGGTTGGAGAAAGTCTTCAAGAAGAGGACGAGCAGCCCCGGAGGACAACACCAAAGAAACAAGAGCACACTCATCATCACCATCACCATCACCACCGCCGGCTGCAGCATCAGGGTCACAGTCAAACACCTGATGACATTGAAGTACAACCCAGCAGGTTCAACAGCCAAAGACTTGCCCGCAAATACCTGTCTGAGGAGAAGGAGGAAGTGAAAGGTCTAGTGGAGGAGGAGGAGGAGGAGGAGGAGGAAAAGGCGGCGGCGGCTAACTACAACCAGCATGGGCAGAACCACTACCACCGTCACCACCGTCATCACCACCATCAGCATCACCAGAGAAACAGTCAGCCAAACTTTAAAGAAAACTATGAGCAAGAGCACATTCACCGGAGCAGACAGCACAGGCATCACCAGCATGTTCTGCCAAGGACACATCAGTTGGATCACAATCCTGTACACAACCATCACAACTACCATCATCACCGCGCCAGAGACAAGAGGAGGAACAGGGACAGATATCGAGACAGACATCGAGACAGAGACAGGGAGAGAGATAGGGAACGGCACAAGGACAAGGAGAGAGAGCAAGATAGGAATCAGGGTAGAGATAGAGACAGAGATGCCAGACTCTGGTGAAGAGATTCCTATGCACAACTGGACCGTTGTCTCTACTGTGGACCAATCATTGGTTTAATGCTGCTCAAGTTGTCGTTAATGCACTACAAGACAGGACAGAATGTTTTTTGCCATTTATTTCCGATTTCAAATGCACACACGTTTTCTTTATTTTCCACTTAAATGGATTGTAGCATATTTTTCGGGTCCCCAACCACCAAGTCCTGGACCAGTATGAGTACGTCAGGCACCTGGAGAAACAAGTATTTAAGGAAAAGTCCATCATTGATTATTTAAAATTCACTCCGACGACTATATTAAATTAAAATTGATACTTCACAACGCCGAATAGGTTTTGAAAAAAGAAAATATAAAACAAACTGAGAGAAATAGGTGAACAGGGAAAGGCTGAAGGTTATAAATTGAAAAAGAAAAGAAGAAAACCTCAAAAATAGGGGAAAATATTGTGGGATAAACCTCAGTATAAATGTTGACCAACCCCACAACACTTGCATTTTACTGTATATCAACATTAAAAATGATGTACATAAACAAGAAGCACAGTGTACTTTAAGGGCTTCAGCTGGGATCAGATTTAAAAAAAACATTTTTTTTTAATTAACGCTCACCGTTGATCTGGATTGTTCAGTTATACTTAATGAGTGTCTGGTTATCCAAAAAAATAATGTGTGTATATATATATATAGTATGTATAAAGATAGATAAATTAATTGAATTAGTTTATTAACATTATAACATTTATTATATATATTATTATAAATATATTTATTATATATATTATATACTGTGTCTATACATGTATGGCGTGGCAGTTTAAATTGTTATATAACATTTGGATCGTATTGTCAGCATGAATGGTGTTTTATTTGGAAAATAACCGGATATTTCTACCACCTGTTTACTCATGATGACGCTTGTCAAAGTGAGATTGTTTGGAAAGACGGTAAACAGACTAAAATAACAAAATAACAACTGCATTTTGATTCCTACTACTAGCACGACTTTATCACGACAGGTGATTCTTGTGAGCTGTTTCCAACAACGGTGAGTTGTTTTTTTCTTTTTTTTTGTATCTTTATTCACTTTCAGCGTTTAATTTCTCCACACAGGCCCGTGTTAATCGTGTCATTACGTGTTATTTACTTTGTTTGTTTACATTTTTATGATTTAATGTTCAGATGGAAATGCAGTGGGTTTTTTATATTATTATTCTTTCTCTGGTGTTTGGTCATATTTATGAAGTGGTGTTTGCTCTGTTTTGAACCATCAGACTTTGTGGTGACAGACCTGTGCTCTGCTGGACATTCTATGCATCCTCTAATGGTAAGATATAGTGCTTGAATACACTCTCTATGCATTTGTTCATATATTTCATGAATGCCTTGTTGGGTAAATGTAGTGAAAATCAGATCTGGTAGAATTTGACTTTCTGTGGATGACTGGATTCTTTTCTGTATTTGTTTTGGGTGACCTGTGTTTTGTACAGATTGTAGATATTTTATTTTGGCAAATGTGCAGTTGTTTTAATCTACAGTTAAAACATTTAAAACTACATAATAAACAAAGATGGTGATGAGTCACAGCACCTTTCACGCTTTATGCCTCTAGTCTTGACAACTCGGTTGAACCCTAGGCCAGGTTCACCAAATGTTCTTTACTATGCAAATATATTTTTCAATAAGGAGGCAACTGTTGTCATGATTAAAACAGAAACTACTGTGATTATTATGCCTAGTCATGTTTACTTATGTGTGTGCAACATCCTCATTTCATTAATACCCTGCAGCTATTGACGGAACAAATCGTATTCCTTTGACAGAGTGGTTACCAAAGCAGAGGGACAAATTAATTTCACTTTTAATATTTTCTCTTTTTGTCCCACTGTGGATGATTAAATTAAATGCTGTGTGTTGCATTGTATCAGAATATGTGGCTTGAAAAATTAAACTTTTAGAGTTGTCAGAAATGGTAACTTGATGTCATGAGGATGTACTTGAAGAGATCTCTGCTAATGTCTTGTGGATCAGAGACCTGACGCTTGAGGTTGTTTAAAATTGTCGTTGTTTAACACAGCGCTGCATGTAAACTTTTCTAGACGCCTTCTTGACATAAATAAGACAGAGCAGGGACAGAAGAGTTGGACATTTGTCTTGATGATTTAGTCGTGGTGACAGGCATCAAAGACTGGCATCTCATTTTGGTAGCATTCCCCATGAAGGGATTTGTTGCAGCACGGACAGACGTGAGTGACAATATTGCATTAGGATTGTTTGCTTCATGCACTATTGTCATCTAATCAGAGATGAAAAATAAAAGTTGACTTCCCCTTTGAATCTCGTTTATAAAACCTTACTTTACTTACCTTGACTGGAGTATTGAAACCTACAGTAAGGGCTGGTTTCAAAATCTTAAATTTAATTACGATCTTGCGTTAAAAAAAAGAGGTCTCACGGAGTGTTTCAATCAGTTAACAGTACTGCAGCAAAACTGCTTTTTTAAGGTAGCTTTTTTTTAACATTTTCAGTAGGATGTCAATAAAATAACTTAAGCTAAATGGTTAAAATGTTATTTAATATTATTTCATTCCAACAGCTGACATCAAAACCATATTAACATTCTTTCTTGTCTACATTCAGGGAAATGACTAGGTTTGTACCAGTTTAAAATGTTAAAAAATTTAAATCATAAAAATTACTTTAAAATAAAAACCACGTGCATGTATAGCCAGTGTGCATCACTCTCCATGTTAATTGGTTCCAATTAAATTACATCAACTGTTTCTTGTTTTCAAATTTCTCAAAAGACTTAACTGAAAGAATTTTTTTTTCCCCCCCGGTGTGGAGTTGGCATCTAATATTTTAATCAGCAGTTATAACTAGTAGATGCCACCATAGCCCCCTCGTGGGTAGCCAGCACCAATTCCTCTGCTGCATGGAGCCCCGCTCCTCTGTGGGCCAAAAGGTCCCTTCATTGGACCATAACCAGATGTTTGCTGCCCATAGCCACTTCCAAACTCACTGTATCCATTTCCACCGCCGTAGCCACTCCCCTGGTCTCCATATCCACCTCCATACGTGGGGTAATTTCTGTAGCCGCCGCCACAGTTGTAGCCAGTGCCATTCCCGTAGTTATAGTTTCCAGCGTAGCCCCTGCTGCTGTAGCTGTTCTGACTCTCCCTCATGCCTCTGCCTGACCGACCTCCCATTGCCATCACACCTCTTTTAGCGGCCTGCATCTCCTGCTTTGTCAGGGCTTTCTTCACTTCAACTTTGTGTCCACTGATGTTGTGGAATTTTACTATTACCGCCTTGTTGGCTGCGTCGTGTTCAACAAAGAACACAAAGCCAAACCCTCTTTTCTTTCCCGTCTCCTTCTCTGAGATGACCTCAGCTTTTTCCACGTCACCGTATTGACTAAAATGTCTGATCAGATGTTCCTCTTCTATGTCGTCCTTCAAACCACCGACAAAGATTTTCTTCACCTTTGCGAGAGCCTCTGGTTTGTTTGCGTCCTCTCTCACAACTGCACGCTTGAGTTCAACGGCGTTGCCGTCAATAGTGTGCGGCCTGGCTTTCATGGCCGTGTCCGCCTCTTCTGGTGTGGAGTAGGTTACAAAGCCAAAACAGCGGGAACGCTGTAGATGCTTATTCACGATGACGATGCAGTCGGTGAGTGTACCGTACTGCTCAAAGTGCTTGCGCAGGCCATTGCTGTCCGTGTCCACGTTGAGTCCCCCAACAAAGAGCTTACAAAGCTGGTCACTCATTTTGAGCATACGATATCAGTTATCTATGGCAGACGCAAGGTTCATCAGTTAAGCTCTCCTTCTCTACAACTAAATCCTTTGGCAGTTAGGATGTTTCTGAACTTGGTCCTACCAAAGCATATGAAGAAAACAAAGGATCAAAGAACAGCCAGTCCTAGTAAACAATTTTTTTCCCCCTTGGTTTTAATGATTCATTACTGTCCTTTCATTGGTCAGTAACTACGGTACTTGATTACTGTTACTGATTGGTTATCTTCTGTGTGTTCCAGCAATGAGAAAGGAATGTCAGGTATTGTGGTTTTTGAAGACATAAATGGGATCTAAGGAACAAAGATCAAAGCGTTATTCAAAACTCCAACTAGGCCAGCAAAGAACATCTTCAAAGGAATGTTCTTAACTATTGTACAGTGACGTTTTATTATTGTTTGGCCTTAAGTTTAAGTGAATATTTGATAGCCTGAATGTGCAGGAAAACCATAATCTGTGTGTGTTATAGCCAAAAACCAACAGAAAGTTGGCCATTTTGAATTAAAATTAACTAAGTATATAAGTATTAAATTAGGTAAATCACATTAAAACATGGCAAGGCAGCACAGATTGGTATTTTAATGAACACAAAATTTGTTATAGATATTTTAGAATTTCATGTTGATGCTAATTGGTAAAAAGTGCACTCTGTCCCAGCACCAAGAAGTCACGCAAAATAATGTTAAAAATAATAGCACCAAGAAGTCACGCAAAATAATGTTGCATTTTTACGCCGAATCAGAAGATCAGCTAAAACACAGAAGTATGGTTGTAACTCATCAAAAATTTGTGGAAATGTATCAAATTTGCAACTGATGAATTAAGATCCTTAATCAAAAAGACATTATAACCATTGGCCTCATGCAACAGGAAGTCAGCTATATTGGATACATTTTACATAAGGGAATTCAACAAATGTCTCCCCCGTTTAATCTATTGATGACAATTTGATCAAAGGAGATTTATAAAAGAAGTAGGTTTAGTTAAGTGAAATTTAAAAATTGCTAAAGACCTTTGTGCAACAAAACTTAAATGTCTATGGAGAAAAGTAAAAAAAAAAAGAAAAAAAAGAATGTATATAACCATGAATGTGCATATAACATTGACAGGAATATTTTTGCACTTTTCAAGTATTATCATTAATTGTGTCATAGGCAATAAGCAAAAAACTGCATTTTTGTTTTACATTCAATCAAATATATATATATATATATATACATATATATATATATATGTATGTATGTATATATGTATGTATATATATATATATAATGATAATCATGGAGACATCCTAGAGCCTAAATTCTGTTCCATTAGGTTAGGCAATGCCATCACCATTGAAACCCACATAACTGATACACAGTTAAATAACTAGTATAGACAGTAGTAAGTAAAATAGTTAATAAAAAACATATGTAGAAGGCACATAAATGAGGCACCTAAACGTCACACAGCAATCTGGGATTCAGTATAGTGCTACTTCAAACTTCACAGAGCTACAATCGGCTCAGGTTCTGCTTCTTCTGCATTCTCTATCAGTTTATTGGTGTCCACCACATCAGGCTGAGATCGTTCACTATCAAAGTAGAGCGGATTGTCAAAGGTCGGCATGATGCGCGGGGACTTCTTGTAGAAGAGAAATGCACCAGCAAACAGCGAAGAAGTGGCAATAATAACCAGGACAACTACCAAACTGGTGTGGACCCGACTGTGAGGATCCAGGCCCTTACGTGGTTCTGCAGATAGTCATAAAGGAGACAGTCGTTCAAACTTTAAAAACCTTTTACAAGAGCTCAGTAAAATAAAGGGTAAATATATGAGGCTTACCAGAATTTGTGTCTAAAACTTCTCGCAATACTGAAAAAGACAAAGAAAGATTAGTCAGATAACTCTGTGACTTGATTTGTTTTTTCTACGGCCATAAAAAATTAGCAAATTTCCAATGATGTGTGATGCATATTTAACTTTTTCCATAGATATTTTACTTTAACTAATTAAATACCTAAATATCAATTAAAAACAGAAAATACAAATATTAAAAATATCCACAGTCCAAGGCAATTACTTTGAGAAATGTTTATAAAAAGACCAAAAAGTGAATTTTGCAGCTTGATTTAAAAGTACATCAAGTTTTTTAAATATATATTTTTGAACTGTTAAGGATTACAATCATCAGTGCTTGATGCCAACTTTGAAAAGGTTGTTGGTGTTAAAGTTCGTACACACATACTGTATACAGTTTAGAAGCTTTTTGCAAATAGAGCAGCATGTTGTGTGATTCTTTATGACTTTGAAAAGTCCGTCATCTGCACTTGGCGTTGAAGAGATCTTATCTTACGTTAGATGTCAGTGTAATGAAGTTACCCTTAGCTGTTTTACAGATGTAGGGTCTTCCATCCCACTTTTGCCCTGACGACCAAAGACCATCATTGGTTCTGATGCCTCCAAATTCTGAATCAGGCTCATATTCAGCCCAGTTGGTGTAGTCCATGACTGCTTTGTCCAACCACAACCATGTCCCTGGAAGACAAACAAAATCTCAGTTTGCTAAAAATGTCTAGTAAATAACAAACTAACCTCCAGTAGTGGTAAACAGTGTCATTATACCTTTATGTGTTTTGTACAGTCCAATCCAGAACGAGGTGAAGGTGTCGGCAAATTTGTTCACATTGTTTTGGAGGAACTCTTGCTCTTCAGGGTTTTCTATACTCGCCAGGCTTCCACCTTACACCAACAACAGAGAAGTTGTCACTCGGTGCAGTTTACCGCCACATTATTTAGATTGAATTGAATTGTTTCCTACCGTGCTGTATACAACCGCTGGCAGCACTGGACCATTCAGTTTGCTCCATTACAAACAAATAACAATAACCCTTAAGTGGCAGCCAGGTGAGACTCTGCAGTAACCAAACACTGTCCTCAGGGCAAACACCAGGGAAGGAGGCTGATTCTGTTGGTGCCACATCTGTGAGTGGCAGAGAAAGAACGTGACACAGTCAAGTGACGGCAGGATGTACTGTTGTCACATTGGTGCAGTGAACATACAGTACTTTGACTCGGGATATTGTCATTGTCATTGGCTCACGTGTACGAATGTGTCTCAGTGAGCATCATATTTGTATCACTGGAGTCAGATGTTCTACTTAGTCATCGATGTTAAATTAAGATGAAATGACTATTTCCTGACCATGGTGTTTTTGCAGTGACTCGTTATTGTCTATAGAAGATGATGTCAACTCTGTGATTAGTAGCTACAATACATGTAAAAAAAAAAACCCTGACAATTAATGGTAATTACAGATGCAAACACTGCCACTATGTGGCACAAAAAGGTACTGCCCTGCCAGAGGGACACAGCTCACACAGACATAAACTTGATTTTATAATGATGTGTTAAAAGGATGAAGACATATACGTCGAAGTGACTTTTGGATTGTCAACTAAATTGTTTTATCTGATTATCTGGTAATGTGGAATCAATCATAAATTTTAATTAAATTAAATAATACCCCTTCAGATACGTTTTAGATAATAAGCGTTAGCCAGGAAAAGAGAACAACAATTAATTCCCAACACCTTTCTACACCTTCCATGACTGTATGACTTTAGCTTACCTGAAGATTGCAAACAAGCACTGTTCATGGTCTCGTTACAGAAGGCAGTCTTCCAACTTCCGTCTACATCTACGTAAACACAAGGGCGGTCTGTGCTTGGTTCACCTGGAGCCCAGTTAGCAAAGGTCATGGACCAGCCGTCAATAAACCTAAAAAACCCATTGGTCTGAAAACAGATTTGAGATAAAATATTGATCAGGAGATTCATATCAATTGTCATCCAGGGATTCTTATAGATATTGAACTGCCATCAACCTGCTTCTTGTTCAGTCCAATCCACAGTGGAGCCATGAAAGTTGAAGCCAGCAGCTCTACATAAGCCTGTGTCCATTCATTTCGCAGATTGATCAGATTGGCTTTATCACCTTTACATTGTTTTTGGGCCTCGTCCCAGCTCAGATTTTTAGTCACAGCCTTAATGCTGTCGTTGCCAAGATATGCATAAATGTTTGGAACTATTGGATTTGGTTGAACTGGAAAACTTGGGTCTGTAAGCAGTAGGACAACGGTGTTAACCAACTGCACTTGGACAAACTACCTCAATGACATTTTACTCTAAGCCTCAAGTTAACGATCGAACAAACTCACCAACATTCCGGGTGCAGATATATCCATTGGTGTCATTGCAGGACCTTGACATCCATTTTCCGATTCCAACGGAATGGCTGCTGGTCATCACGACACAGTCTTCCTGATTAAGTACATATGTGAAGATGGGTATTTAGTCTGGAACAAATTTTGAACTAATAAAACATTTAATTTTTAAAAATGTTACCTCATTCCACATTCGATAAAATATTCCAGGGCGATGGCGATATTTCTAAATAGAAGAACCACTATGTTAAGTAACACTATTAGTACAACCAAAAAAAATACTCATTTCAGATATGGATATTTACCCCAATGCCCCAGTTGGTGTATCGCCTTGGTTTTCCATCAACCCAGTAAAATCCACCTTGATTTAGACTGTTCAAACCTATCCACAGGTCAGTACTTGTTGCTTGCATCATTATGGATATCAAGTATGCTGAAAAAAGGCAATAGAAACACAATTATATCTAATCTACTGGTAGTACAATAATTATTGTTCGCAGTGTTCAAAAGTAGTATTTAGGATTTCAAAGTGAGTTTTTTTGTAAGATGTATTCATTTTTATGATATTGTTACTGTGCAATTTAGTTTAAGTTTATCTCAAAATAAATCCATGGCAACAGAAACCCACCAAGCAAATCATGTTTGATGTGATTATAAATAATTAAAAAAAACATTGGACTGTCCCTTTAGCATCTTACCTATGCTTATTGTAGTAAGTAAAAAAAACAACCATACCTTGTATACGTCTGGAGACAATAGAGACTAAATTTCCTCCTATGCTAATGCACTGTCTCCTTGCTTCGTCCCAGGTGATCTTACGAGCAATGTTGACGCTGTAACACTGTGGAGGGAAGATGAAATTTGACGTTTTTAGTCTACACTTAAGGAGAAAAAAGTTGAATCAAACTTTTATCTTTTAACAGAATGTTCTTCTCCGAGCAGAGAAATGTCTGCGTTCTGACCTTATAGTCAAACATTTTCCACGTTAGCGGGCAACCTCCCTTAGGAGGTGGTGGGGGCGGTGCAGTGGTGTTAACAGGTGATGACAGTCCACGCTTGCAAATAAACTTTAGTTCTGAACCGCAGTTGCTAGATCGCCAGAAGCCTGTGAGCAAAGCAAAGATACAATACCTCACATGTCACCTCAGCAGCACGTTACTGTGTACTTTTGTACTCTTCAGATTACTCACCCATGTGAGAAGTCATGGCGGCGCAGTTCTCATTGAAAGCATTTGGATCAGGTTGGTTTTGATCCCATCTTTGTAGTGCCAGAGAGGAGCCGTCCATCCACCTGGGAGCAAACCCACCTGAGGTTATTCATACAGTAATAATAATAATAATAATTCATTAAATATATACAAAAAAGTTCAGAATTATTGCCTAGTAAAAACCAAACTCGATGTGTTAAATAAATTGGCTTCAGAACTACACACAGCCATAAGTGTTGGCAAAATATGCATGAAATCTTCTCCACCTCCCATTGATACTCACCAATAAGACCCGTCCAGATCTATTGATAAACCTATGTAATATTGCCCATATTTTCGGGAAATCTAGAGAAACAAACAAACACAGAAATTAGAAATTAAACGTATCGTAGGATCGAAGGTTCAAACTAAATAATGACTTAAACCAGCACCTGTTTCCAGAGGAAGGTATTTTCGTCTTTGGTGCTGATAGAAACCAAGTCTCCATGATTCCTCTGACAGACGTGACGGGCCTCTTCCATGGCCATTGATGTAGGACTAAAGAAATACTGACTGCCTCTCCACTCAAGCCAACCATCTGCAGTGGTGTTATAATCTGCAGGAGTTTGCTTTAGATCAGTAATTATACTTCAGACATTTTTTTTTGTAAAACATATGCTCAAACACACATTCACATATTTTACACGTATTGCTTTATAACTTCTCTCAAACACATGAATCTCCCTGCTGTTATTTGTCTTTCTGTTTTTCCGCAACTTACAGAATGAAAAACATATTGTTCGTTTTTTGGGGGTTTTTTTTGTTGACTTACCCACAGTAGTGTCATTTGGAGGAGATTTTGGAGTCACTCCTGTAGTCAGACAAATAAAAAAACAGTCAAATGTGAAACCAACCACAGCTGCCCTTGTCTGCAGCTTTGATATTAAAGTCTAGGGGACAGACTGTTCATTTTTGACAATTATTAATAATATAATCTAACTAATAAGGAATCATACATCAACTTTCAGTTTACTCTGTTGACTGTAACATTTACATTACTTTATCCACATATAGAGATTTAGATTTTGTGAATCACAACAGTCCAAACCACATCATAACTCACATTATTCGTATGTTCTTTTGACATTGTTTGCAGATGTGGAAGATGAATTTAGTGACGTTGACTAGTTTGGTGCTTTTAAAAACCTCCTGACGGTGCAGTGAAGAAGGACATTGTTGTATGCAATAATATATATTTATATATATATGTATATGTGTGTGTGTGTGTGTGTGTCTTATAATTGCAGATCTAAAAGCCTACAGTATGGCATCACCTCAGTACGTAACGCGTTTTGCTAATAGCTACGATCCCTGTGGAACAGGTGGTGAATTTAGAGAAGAAATACATTTGTTTGTTGTTTAAGTTCATAATCTAACTAATAAGGAATTATACATAGAATTTAAATTCATTTGTTTGTTGTTTAAGTTTACGTCTATATTTTTTCAGAACAATCTGAACTGAAAAACTTTGTTAATGTTGTCAAATATTGCTGTTTCATAAAAGTGCAGTGAATTGTGATTATTAAGTCTCTGATTTAACCGTTGGAAACAGAATATATAGAGCGTGAGTCTCGGTTATAAAAACAAGCATTGTATCAACCATGTAGTGTGTACCTGCTCGTATCTGACACAGCCAGTCATTGTAACCCTCACAGTTTGCATCGTTCCAAGACCCAGGGTCGTCCCAGTTGTATATTGTGAATTCTACACAAGATTCATCATCATTGAGGTTGTTTGGTTCTCCTTCTTGCCAATGTTGGAAGTTTACCTGTGGACATAAATATAAAAAACACACTTTTCATTGTGTGCAGTATTTAAATAATATTTTGCCTTTTAAATTATGAAAACCTTTTTGAAAAGCACACAACTGACCGGTGATCCATCACTCCATGCATAACCAGTGCTTGTGTCAGGAATGTGAAGTCCGATCCATGCTTTTCCGTAACTGCAGCACGAAAACATTTTTTTAATATTGACAATTCTTATACAGTGTCCTTTTTATAGACTATTTTTGCATTTTGGCTGTAAAGGTTAGGAGACAGAGAAGGCGGGTTGTACGCTACATCACCAACGCTTCACAAGTGGTGCATAGCAATTTAGAGGAAATGGGAATAACTTGGAATAAATGCTGTGGATAGATGTAGTTCATGAGTACACAGTAGGAGTATGTTGGTGTACACAAATGCAGTGAAAAGTACTTTAAGAGGTCAGAAATGTTTGGGAACTGTATTCATGTCACGGGACAATGAATTGATGTTTGTCTTAGATTTGAAGTTGACCAACTCCTACCGTCCCACCCGTAGATCAACTTGGTTGTGGATGCTGAGCAGATCTCCTCCAATGGCCCGACAATAATCTCTGGCCTCGAACCACGTCTTCTCAAATGAGCGAGGTCCTGTAAAAAACTTGACAAATGGTGTTGAAGTAATTAACACGTGACGTAGTGACGGCAGTTTCAATTAGTCACAAATAAAGTGTCATCCACTTTTGCAGTACAATCACTGAGTGGGTTTAAAGTTTTAGCACTCACTGGGCAACGCGGCAAAACACAAGGACCAAACATTAAACTACTCTAGTACTACTCCTACTTTGTAGGAAAGAAAGTAAAAAGACAAACAGATGAACGTAAAAAGAAGTCTAAGTGAAGATTTATCAACACATTCTAACAAATGACTGTTAATAATAATATGACTACAGTCAATCCACTTTAACAAACAGGTGAAGTGAATCTAGAATGACGCTCCACCCTGG